CCGTTTACAAGTTTTCAAACAGGAGGGGTAGGGGTGACCCCCAGGGACCTCCCCAACATATCATTTGATTTGTTAAATTGTCCCATACAAGAATATATATGGTTTAGGGGTGGGGATCTCTACCGTTTACAAAATATAAGAACATTTGCAAATGGCAGGGGGTGGGGGTAAACCTGGAGACTAGCCCGGTATATTTCATTCAAATCAATTTGACATTATAAAGAGGAATAGAGAAATGACAGGGATAGGGGTGATCCCTGGAGACTTGCCCTACATTTCATTTGATTTGTTTTATCATGTCCCATGATCATAAATGAAGACCAGGTGTGTGCATCACTTATTGTTCTCAAGTTGTAAATTTAAAAATAAAAAAAAAAACCTTGGGTTCTTTAGTTAAACCCCTCCCTTCCTTTTTCTTTTATTAAAATTTTTCCCATTTTCATTTCATTATCATCATATCAATATTCACAATGATCGTTTTTCTCATTGGGAGAAACGAATCAGAAAGGTTAAACAAGAGTGCACACGCTGAAATGTCTCGCCTTCTTTACTAATCATTTATATTATGTTGATAGTCCTAAATATAAAGCTTTATTACAACTGTCACATAAACTTAACATTAACCAAGTAAACTAAACATTGACCAATGAACCATGAAAATGAGGTCAAGGTCAGATGAACCATGCTAGGCAGGCATGTACAGCTAACAATTCTTCCATACAACAAATAGAGTTGACCTATTGCTTATAGTTTAAGAAAAACAGACCAAAACACAAAAACTTAACACTGAGCAATGAACCTTGAAAATGAGGTCAAGGTCAAATAAAACCTGCGTGACTGCCAAATAGATCATAAAATATTTCTATACACCAAATATAGTTGAACTATTGCATATAGTATAAGAAAAAAAGACCAAAACTCAAAAACTTAACTTTGACCACTGAACCATGAAAATAAGGTCAAGGTCAGATTACACCTGCCCGCTAGACATGTACACCTTACAATCATTCCATACACCAAATAAAGTAGACCTATGGCATACAGTATAAGAAAAACAGACCAAAACACAAAAACTTAACTATAACCACTGAACCATGAAAATGAGGTCAAGGTCAGATGACACCTGCCAGTTGGACATGTACACCTTACAGTCCTTCCATACACCGAATATACTAGACCTATTGCTTATAGTATCTGAGATATGGACTTGACCACCAAAACTTAACCTTGTTCACTGATCCATGAAATGAGGTCAAGGTCAAGTGAAAACTGTCTGACGGGCATGAGGACCTTGCAAGGTACGCACATACCAAATATAGTTGAACTATTGCACATAGTATTAGAAAAAAAGACCAAAACTCAAAAACTTAACTTTGACCACTGAACCATGAAAATGAGGTCAAGGTCAAATGACACCTGCCCGCTAGACATGTACACCTTACAATTATTCCATACACCAAATATAGTAGACCTATGGCATACAGTATAAGAAAAACAGACCAAAACATAAAAACTTAACTATAACCACTGAACCATGAAAATGAGGTCAAGGTCAGATGACACCTGCCAGTTGGACATGTACACCTTACAGTCCTTCCATACACCGAATATACTAGACCTATTGCTTATAGTATCTGAGATATGGACTTGACCACCAAAACTTAACCTTGTTCACTGATCCATGAAATGAGGTCAAGGTCAAGTGAAAACTGTCTGACGGGCATGAGGACCTTGCAAGGTACGCACATACCAAATATAGTTGAACTATTGCACATAGTATTAGAAAAAAAGACCAAAACTCAAAAACTTAACTTTGACCACTGAACCATGAAAATGAGGTCAAGGTCAAATGACACCTGCCCGCAAGACATGTACACCTTACAATTATTCCATACACCAAATATAGTAGACCTATGGCATACAGTATAAGAAAAACAGACCAAAACACAAAAACTTAACTATAACCACTGAACCATGAAAATGAGGTCAAGGTCAGATGACACCTGCCAGTTGGACATGTACACCTTACAGTCCTTCCATACACCGAATATACTAGACCTATTGCTTATACTATCTGAGATATGGACTTGACCACCAAAACTTAACCTTGTTCACTGATCCATGAAATGAGGTCGAGGTCAAGTGAAAACTGTCTGACGGGCATGAGGACCTTGCAAGGTACGCACATACCAAATATAGTTATCTTATTACTTATAATAAGAGAGAATCTAACATTACAAAAAATCTTAACTTTTTTTTCAAGTAGTCACTGAACCATGAAAATGAGGTCAAGGACATTGGACATGTGACTGACGGAAACTTCGTAACATGAGGCATCCATATACAAAGTATGAAGCCTCCAGACCTTCCACCTTCTAAAATATAAAGCTTTTAAGAAGTTAGCTAACGCCACCGCCGCCGCCGTAGCCGCCGCCGCCGCCGCCGCCGGATATCTATCCCTATGTCGAGCTTTCTGCGACAAAAGTCGCAGGCTCGACAAAAATCAATTCGTGATTGAGTTTAAAAATAGAAAAATCACGTGACGATGTTCAGCTCGAAGCAATAATTTTACTTTTTAAATTGCACTGACTGGTTAATAATGTTAATATTGTTTAAGACAACACGAGTTATCTCCCGAAAATAACAATTCATTATCATAACAACATTTTCTGACCTGAACAAGTCAGAATTGTCAAACACCAGGTCATCTCAAAGACCACGCGTCCGTATTTACAGGTCGCGCGCCTTCATGAAACAGCAAAAAAATCACTTGCAAGGAACTTCTTTATAGGCAAAAAATATCAAAATGCCCATGAAAATACGGAGGTAATATGAATTACCTTTCTAAAAATGCCCACAATGACCTAGATTTTCACTAAAAATCGTAAATAATCAATATAATATTCAATGACTTCTCGTTCGAGACACTTCCAAAACAACGACTCTCAAACACGTGATCTCTTGCAAAAAACCGCGTGATCGTATGTGTCGTAGATCGGCGGCAAATTCAAAATAACTTCTGGTTTGACGGACTCGAGTGAAAACTACGCAAAACAAAAATTGACGCGTACAGGTCAGAATTTCAAAACACTTTCTGACTTGAAGAAGTCATTTTATTCTGACTTGTTTATGTCAGAGCTCTGACTGGTAAAATCGTCTTTGTTGAGAAAAAAAAAATGATGACCTGACTGGACTATAATAAAAATACAAAATAAGTGTTTTATTCTAATTTTTATACGTTTGTACGTTTTATTTCAAATGGCAATGACATGGGGCAAACACATACAAGAATAATTATCTTATTTTGAATGAAAATGTCACATTTTTATCTGTCAAAGAAAGGAAATTTTAATACCGTGTTTTAAAGCACACAGGTGCAATCAAGATCGATTAAATGTACAAAGGTAATAAATCTGGCTAATCCGATTATGTTGTCATGCGTCATTAATTTTCAGTACATCCGATGGGCAATAAACCAATTAACAGCCACGCGGTGTTGGGAGAGAATCTTTGGAGGAAATTGGGAGTATAATCCGTGATTCGCGGTGTGACACCGCTACACTCCGGAATCCGTGCTTAGAGTTCGCGATTACAAACTCTCTGTGCGTACTGTATTTATTATTGAAATTGGGAAATTTGTATATTTTATTCTAAACACATTTCCGATTTTTTGCCGACCTTTGCAGTCTTTTTTGAACTGTTTTTTCATGTATATTTTGGTTGTCAGACATTTTCAACCTGAAAGGTACTTTTCTAAGAGGGGAAAGAAACAGAAGCAATGATGGTACTTAATGCATTGAAAACCACATGTGTTACAAACACCATGATAATTCTGATCAGAAAACCAGATCTCAAAAGTCAAATGAAAGTGCTTTCTAATATCAAAATAATAACATGAATACGATATTTACAATCATTACTACCAATGCCATCACTGTTTGGGGAAAATGTAAAACTTTTTGGGAGGAATTTTAAGCCATTTTTTTTAGTAATTGGGAATTTTCTCTAGGGGAAAAAGCCAAATTTCGGCTGTAATTTGAGGCAAACAATATCACTGTCTATGTTCAAACATATAAAACTGAAATTCGGAGAAATATGTTAGTAGGTCGAAAATACAATACACGAGGATATAATTAAGGTTCATGTGGACCCTTTGGCTAAAATGGCTGCGTTTTCACCTCAAAATTAACTCTGAGTACAGACAAACCTGTGCATCTGGAAAAGTTTTAAGGCATAGCATGCCCTTGATTAATAAAATTCAAATGCATTGTATGTTTTAGAAAATTTAAGACTTAAATGGATTTTGCAGTGCACCTTTTTTTCGTCCCTGCAGAAGATGATAAAATTAACAAACAGTTGAGTTTCACTTGATATGGTCCACTCAGGTACACAGTTTAAATCACCAGTTATTGTCAGGTATCTATTGTCCATCTATTGTCCATGTAAATCAATACAGTTCACTTCAATTATTACCTATGGGGAGGTTCTCAAACCTCTTTCTCAACTTAGTTTATTTTTACACCTTCTGGAGGAATGAAAAAAAGTGCACTGTAAAATCCTGTTAAGTTTTTAATTTTCTAAAACCTAAAATATATTTGAATTTTATTTATCTAGGGCATGCTATGCCTTAAAACTTTTCAAGATACACAGGTTTGTCTGTACTCAGAGTAAATTTTGAGGTGAAAATGCAGCCATTTTAGCCAAAGGGTCCACATGAACCTTAATATAATTATGCGATGAGAAATTGCATTAGACATTCCATGATGAGGGGTCAGTAGAAGCCATTGGCTTATTGATGGACCCGAAGATAAAGGTATAAAGGTCGTTGGAAGGCGTCACAGAAAAAAATTAAAATAGCCTTTCAAGACGTCATAATTATTTGGACTAGTATAAAGGTATAGAAACAACATGCAAGTGCCTGTGGCTGTCCCTGTGGTACAAAACACAAATATTCTGGTGTCAGTTCTACTTGAAGCCGTGGTATCAATACTGTCTTATACCTTTTGTTCCTATATCCTGTGTTTTTTTTCAACAATGCCAAATTTTATAAATCAACGAAGAATGTACCGGAAACAGATTTTCAGTTTTCGTTTTGGCGGTAAAACTAAATACAGATACGAATTCGGAGAAATTTTTGCGCAGGTAGTACATGTAGAGAGTATTTTAAACAGAATTTTCTTCTTCTTCTTCTGCATATTTCTATTCTCCTATTCTTATTCGTATATCCAATTAGGAACACCAAGTATCAGTTGTGATGTCCATATCTAGGATATCTAGATAGACTTGAAAAAATCTTGTATCGTCTTTGCTGGATAATTTTCTCATTTTTGTCGAGCCTTCGACTTTAGTCGAAAAAGCGAGACATAGCGATCCTACATTCCGTCGGCGTCGTCGGCGGCGTCCACAAATATTCACTCTGTGGTTATAGTTTTTGAAATTTTAATAACTTTCTTAAACTATCCTGGATTTCTACCAAAAAAAAAACAAACTTGGACAGAGGCTTGTTTATGATCATAACTTAAGATAGTATCCAGAAGTAAATTTTGTAAAAATAAAATTCCATTTTTCCGTATTTTACTTATAAATGGACTTAGTTTTTCTGCCTGGAAATATTACATTCACTCTGTGGTTAAAGTTTTTAAAATTTTAATAACTTTCTTAAACTATCCTGGGTTTGTACCAAACTTGGACAGAAGCTTGTTTATGATCATAAGATAGTATCCAGAAGTAAATTTTGTAAAAAAAATAAATCCATTTTTTCCTTATTTTACTTTTAAACATGTTAAATGGACTTAAATTTTCTGCCAGGAAACAACACATTCACTCCACATGCTCCATGCACTCTGTGGTTAAAGTTTTTGAAATTTTAATAACTTTCTTATACTATTTTGGATTTGTACCAAACTTGGATAGAAGCTTGTTTACGATCAAATGCTAGTATCTAGAAGGAAATTTTGTTTTCTTCCAGTTAACATTACATTCAGTCTGCAGTTAAGTTTTTCATTGTTTTTAAACATTTATTAGATTCATGAACTATCCTGGATTTTTACCAAACTTGGACAGATTTTTTGCTTCTAACAATCAAAAGATAGTATCAAGAGGAATATTTTTATTGATTTACTTCCTCATTTTTGTTGAGCCTGCGATTAACAGAAAAAGTAGGCGAGACACTGGGTTCCTTGGAACCCATACAAATTTTTTTAGATTTTAAAAGTATGAGAATATTTTAGCCTATCTGTAGATATTAAAGTTACAACTTACTAGATATGGACATCATACAACTCACATTTATTATTTTAGATAAATGTCATATTGCCAGATGGATCCAGGTCCATTTGCCAACAAATTATCAGTTAGACTACTTGCATGTTAGCTCTGGGAATATTAGATTATTACATGTCCCTAGTATCAGCTGGAGACTCCCATATTGGACCAAGTGCTTTAGCCCAAGGTCATAATATAGGTACTAGGTCCGAAATGGATAATATCATGTAATAGTCTATTTATAACATTTTCTATTTTGGAATGAGAAAATTGAATAAACAATTAGCTAAAGACTATATATATGTACTTATTTAATTTGTTTTTGTTGTGTAGTTTGATTTTTTTTTTAGCATTTTATAAGATCCAATAATTCCGGATAACATGGATAATAATCCTGTATATATACCTGTTGGGTTTAATTTTCAGACTTATATAAACATGGCTTCCGAAGCTACACAAAACACCTTACAAATATAGATTCATTTCGTCTTCAAGCCATTGTTCCACTACTAAATTGTCTATTCTTCTTACCAGTACACTTGGTACAATCAAAAACCTGATAATAAATTGTTCAAATAAGGCCTTCGAAAAATAGTGGAATTAATTACTTTTGGAGTGTCAAGAACTCTTTGGAAGTACTTGATAAATTACATGCATATATTGGTGATTTTGAATCTGTTCAAAGTTTTGATTTTTCTACCCTATATACCACATTGCCTCACATTCTCATTAAGAAAAAATTCACACACCTAATTAAATGGGCATTTAAAAAGTCAGAATGTGAATATATATGTTCAAACTCTTTTAGGTCATTTTTTAGTAGCAATAAACAAAAAAAACTATGTCAATTGGACATGCTTTGTTACTATATATGCCTGGAATTTTTACTAGATAACATTTTTGTTCGCTTTGGAGATTCCGTATATCGTCAGGTTATCGGAATTCCAATGGGGACTAATTGTGCACCACTTATTGCGGACCTTTTTGTCGAGCCTTCGACTTTTGTCGAAAAAGCGAGACATAGCGATCCTACATTCCGTCGGCGTCGTCGTCGTCGGCGGCGTCCACAAATATTCACTCTGTGGTTAAAGTTTTTGAAATTTTAATAACTTTCTTAAACTATCCTGGATTTCTACCAAACTTGGACAGAAGCTTGTTTATGATCATAAGATTATATTCAAAAGTAAATTTTGTAAAAAAAAAATTCCATTTTTTCCGTATTTTACTTATAAGTGGACTTAGTTTTTCTGCCAGTTAACATTACATTCACTCTGTGGTTAAAGTTTTTAAAATTTCAATAACTTTCTTCAACTATCCTAGATTTCTACCAAACTTGGAAAGAAGCTTGTTTATGATCATAAGATAGTATCCAGAAGTAAATTTTGTAAAAAAAAAATTCCATTTTTCCGTATTTTACTTATAAATGGACTTAGTTTTTCTGCCAGGAAACATTACATTCACTCTGTGGTTAAAGTTTTTGAAATTTCAATAACTTTCTTAAACTATCCTGGATTTATACCAAACTTGGAAAGAAGCTTGTTTATGATCATAAGATAGTATCTAGAAGGAAATTTTGATAAAATTTTGTTCCATTTTTTCTGTATTTTACTTATAAATGGACTTAGTTTTTCTTCCAGTCAACATTACATACATTCTGCAGTTTAAGTTTTTAAAACATTTATTAGATTCATAATTTATCCTGGATTTTTACCAAACTTGGACAGAAGCTACTTACAATCAAAACATAGTATAGAGGGGAATATTTTTATTAATTTTTTTCTTCATTTTTGTTGAGCCTGCGATTAACACCAAAAGTAGGCGAGACACTGGGTTCCGCGGAACCCTTACGAATTTTTTTGTATTGCTATGAGTTACAATTTATGACAAAAATCAGCAAAGACCCATCGAAACAACATCTGATACACAAATTTAATAATACTTTTAGATATTTGGATGATATTTTGGCTCTCAGTAATGACGACTTCAGTATGTATACTATAGAAATTTATCCTGTTGAACTTACTTTAAATAAAGCTAATACTAACAATGACCACTGCCCTTTCCTCGATCTTGATATCTATATCATTAATGGAAAGCTTAATACTAAAATATATGATAAAAGAGATGATTTTTCATTTCCTATCTTTAATTATCCATTTTTAGATGGTGACGTTCCCTTGTCACCATCTTACGGTGTTTATATATCTCAACTTGTACGATTCGCTCGTGTATGTAACAATGTTTTAGATTTTAACAAGAGAAATTTATGTATTACTGAAAAATTATTACACCAGGGTTTTCGATATCACAAACTAGTCAAAACATTTACTAAATTTTATCATCGGTATAAGGACATCATTAGTAAATATAGCTCAACATGCAGACTTCTTATACGTTCAGGTATTTCACATCCAATTTTTTATGGAAATATTCTTTATAAAGCACAAAAATGTCAGTATTCACCTCTGAAGCTAACAAAACCTTTAAATAGACTTATTAAGAAGGGATATAGTTACGATACTGTTGTCAGGTCATTAAAGATTGCATATTTTGGCGTTAATATTGATTCACTTATAGGGTCTTTGCATCGGCACTAAACACATTTATTTAAAAACCAGTTGTTGGCATGACACGGGTTATGTTCTTCTCATAGATGTTATGATGGTATGATACTAAACCCCTAACGGGAAGGATTGTGCCTGATATTCATATGATGAAGACATAATCTTTCAATCAGTTTAATTGAAGTCTGGAGCTGGCATGTCAGTTAACTGCTAGTAGTCTGTTGTTATTTATGTATTATTGTCATTTTGTTTATTTTCTTTGGTTACATCTTCTGACATCAGACTCGGACTTCTCTTGAACTGAATTTTAATGTGCGTATTGTTATGCGTTTACTTTTCTACATTGGCTAAAGGTATAGGGGGAGGGTTGAGATCTCATAAACATGTTTAACCCCGCCGCATTTTTGCGCCTGTCCCAAGTCAGGAGCCTCTAGCCTTTGTTAGTCTTGTATTATTTTTAATTTTAGTTTCTTGTGTACAATTTGGAGTTTAGTATGGCGTTCATTATCACTGAACTAGTATATATATTTGTTTAGGGGCCAGCTGAAGGACGCCTTCGGGTGCAGGAATTTCTCGCTGCATTGAAGACCTGTTAGTGACCTTCTGTTGTTGTCTGTTCTATGGTCGGGTTGTTGTCTCTTTGACACATTCCCCATTTCCATTCTCAATTTTATGATAAATATTTGTATTATCCTGTATCTCAAACACACCGAGATCCAGTGGGCATATATATTGTATGGTTGTCACTTGCTTAGACTTGTTTGTATAATATACTTATTTCTAGTGACTTTATAATAAATTGAATCATTATCCCATACGGTATACAAAAATTGCTGAGTTAGATTGCCGACAAATGAAAATACATTGTGTGTAAAAAATAATATAACATCTACACACTCTTAAACACATGTCTTATGTCTATCTCTTAGATTCCCCTTACGTGACAAACTAACACTACAACTATTGAAGTTATATTTTTTTAACAAATTTATCCCCGGTCTTAGTCCGAATCTGTCGATTTTTAGGGAAATTTGACCTCAAATTGTAACGTGAAAGAAACGTTTTTTTCATTATTTAAAAAAGTTTTATTGAAACTTGGGAATTTGACATATTTAAAATTTTAACTGGGTGTAGGGTTCTACCTTTGGTAGAACCCTACACCCAGTTAAAAATATGTCAAATTTAAGACTGGGGATAAATTTGTTATCTACGTTCATATCCGTACATATGGATATGAACGTAGATAACTTATAGTATATATATCTGTCAATTTGTTTTTACTTGTGGATATGGCATTTGGTTCATTAAGATATTTCCTGCTTTGAAGTGCTTGCCTGCTTTCAATGTATGTATGGTAAACTGCCACAGTGGAAAATAAGAATAGAGGGGCAGCATATATAATCTACTGATATTGTATTAATGTTTGGATACGAGCAAGAACACATTGATTAAGTTAAAACTGGTTAAAATGTTAAAGGGAAATAAAAAAAGGGGGTCCATGCCTAACATTCCTAAAGAGACAGTGATTTCTTTGATTTGGATATTAACATTTATCACAAGTGTTTGATTTTAACAGAATGTTCTGTTCCAAACTTTTTAAATAAGTACATTGACACATTCCCCATTTCCATTCTCAATTTTATTTTACATGAAGTACACATCGTTATGCTATTTGAAGTCTGAATAAAAAAATTGTGTTTGCAGGAAACATTATTATATTTATCCTAGAAAAAAACTGTTAAACATGTTAAAGACAATAAAGCATCATGATATCACAGATATGCATAGGATAATCTCTGAATTGTGTTCAACAGTTACTGTGGATTTATTATTATTCATTGGATACCAATTTTCATGGATATAATGGATAAACATATAAAGACGATCCACAAATTTTAATGTTCAGTAAAGTACACACATTTTCTATAGGCTTGTATGCAGACTGTAGCAAAACCATGGAATCAAATAGCCACAAAAACATCATTTTACCTCAATCCACGAAGATTGTTACCTGCAGAAATAAACGAATCTACGTTATCATGGTTATGGGAAATAAAACAAAATTGTAGATTGAAACTGTAGGAGGAGTTGTGACCACAGACAATATGTATTGTCCATGCAGAAATAACATGAATAAGAAAAACTGTTCAGTATAATTTGTTAAATACAAAAATCCTCATGACTGACAAATGCATGATATGCATGAAAACAAAAAAACTCATGATATGCAAGTTTCTTTTATATATATACATATACACATCATACAGGTAAAGTTGCAACAACCAGTCACTCATATATATACCTAATCTTATGCAGACAAGGAATAAGGAGTGCACAATTGGTTCCAATTAGAGTGACAATTGTGTGTTGTAGCCATCATATTCAACATTTGTTCAATATGGACGTAATTGTATGAAACTCCAACATACTTTTATCCTGATCATGCTGATTACTGGTCATTTTTGTTTGAGTGTTTTTTCCTCAGATATGATGACTCATGTGTAATCTTTTGTAACATCATAAACATGGATACATCTGTTTTACTTTTATCATGTTTATCATTTTCATTGTAGAAATGGACTTCCTAGAAGTATTAGAAGCCAACAATCAGAGTAGAAACACATCAGTCCAGGATAACACACAACTAACAGTACAAAGATTAGTGAAGTTAAGAAGACAAAGAGATGCTCTCAAAATTCAGTTACAGACTGTAGAAACTATGGTAAATGCCTCTTGATATTATTAATTAGGCCTGTCAACCTTTCCATGGAAAGACCTTTTGATTTTGTTCTGAGTATTATTTTTTTCTTCTGTCATCCTAGAACTATTATACTACATGTAGTTTAATGGTCCCAGTGTCATCTGAGATGTTTTTTTGTTTTGAGATATAATTATGAATGAGTTATGATGAATGAATTAGAATGTTAAATGAAGTTATAAAAATAATTATTGAATATGATTCTTAAAGTAGAAATGGTTAAAATAAAGTTGATTATAAATGCTAAATGTTTGACAGAAATAGCACCCATTTTTTGACATAAGGTTTATGTGTTATAATGCTTTATATTGTCACTGGTATAATGATTTTTGTTAGTGTAGTCTGATTATTTAGACATCCCTTTTTATACGACCGCAAGTATATTGGTATCACGTTGTCGTCGTCGTCCGAAGACAGTTGGTTTCCGGACAATAACATATATAATTAAATAGAAATCTATGAAATTTAAACACAAGGTTGATAACCACAAAAGGAAGGTTGGGATTGATTTTGGGGGTTATGGTCCTAACAGTTGGGAATTAGGGGCCAAAAAGGGCCCAAATAAGCATTTTTCTAGTTTCCAGACAATAACTTGTGGAACGGTGTATGGATCTCTCTGAAATTATACCACAAGTTTCCATACCACAAAGGGATTTGCATTGGGGGTTATGGCTCAAACCATTTAGGAATTAGGGGCAAAAAAGGGGGAAAAACAAGGGTGTCCTCAGGGGTTCAAATCAACATTTGGTACTGGAAGGTCCAGGACCTTTGACACTCCAAACTGAAAGGTCCACAACCTTAATCCTAGGTCCTACTTTTACATGAAATATTTTATAACTCAGTAACTAAGATACAAAATTAATGTGCTTTTGGTGTTAGGTTATACTGATCTTGTTTCATCATATTTAAAGAACTGCATGTAATGTTTTGTTAAGTTTACAAATATATTGCCAGGCAACCATATACATAAAGCACTATACTGTCAGTGTCATTGTGGTATAGCATGTCCATGATAATAAATGTATTTGTCTTGTATATATATTATGAATTCCAATAATCTTTTTTTTTGTATTGGGGAGGGTGTCACTGTGGGTGGTTGTGTTGTCTCAATCATTCACAATTATACCATAATCTCAGGGCTCACACTCTTCAGAATCATAGTGAGAAGTAACTTCTCTTTTTGAAAATCATAGGGAGAAGTGGTGAGATTTGAAAAGAGGGACGAAAGATACCAGAGGGACAGTCAAACTCATAGATCGAAAACAAACTGACAACGCCATGGCCAAAAATAAAAAAGACAAACAGACAAATAATAGTACAGATGACACAACATAGAAAACTAAAGACTTAGCAACACGAACCCCACCAAAAACTGGGGGTGATCTCAGGTGCTCCAGAAGGGTAAGCAGATCCTGCTCCACATGTGGCACCCGACGTGTTGCTTATGTTATTACAAATCCGGTAAATAGTCTAATTCGGTAGGTCACATTCGTGAAAAGGGAATGGTACTGTAGTTACGACATAAGGAACATATCCGATATCATCTGTGAAACGGTTATTCCATAACGGTCAACCAACTCATGATGCCGTCCGTAAAATTTACAAAGGGATGATTTCAACTTCACCATTTGGAACTCTTGGTTTAATAGCTTTTTTGTTAGCAGCAATCCTTTATCAAGGAAATCATGATAGGAAATACAAGCCCGGGAATATCATATCAATTGGGAGATATATACTCTGTATGCAGGCGCTGCTGGAATGTTGCTACATAGAAGGAGGAGTGTTCAAAGTTGGTCGCAGCGCTACAATGTTTGGTTTAAACTATAACATAAAGGGCTATATATGTATCTTTCTTTATATTGTTGTTGAATTTATACCGTAACCCGAGTATACAATTAAAGTAACAGTTCCAATTCAAAGCTGTTTAAGTTTATCATATCTAGTTGCACAATGATTATATTAGTTGTCTTGTTAGAAACTACCAACTAAATCATTTAAATATCTAGCACTGATAAAAAAGAACTTTTTTATACCAAAAAGGAAAAAAAGTTGTTATATCAATTAAAATTCAATTGAAAAACTACTCTGTTATCATGTTTATGAAATTCAGTGTTTCTCATTAAAAAAATATATAAATTTAACAAAATTAAGCTAGGACATAATATAATGATATTAGTATAATAATAGTCCCAGAGTTGAGCAACTTTAATTAATAAATTGAAACAATGCATATACATGAATATATACATTATTCAAGTAGATCAAGTATTAAATGCGCATGGAAAGCGTAATTTTTGTCGAGCCTGCGACTTTTGTCGCAGAAAGCTCGACATAGGGAAAGTGATCCGGCGGCGGCGTTAGCTAACTTCTTAAAAGCTTTATATTTTAGAAGGTGGAAGACCTGGATGCTTCATACTTTGTATATAGATGCCTCATGTTACGAAGTTTCCGTCAGTCACATGTCCAATGTCCTTGACCTCATTTTCATGGTTCACTGACTACTTGAAAAAAAAGTTTTTGTAATGTTAAATTCTCTCTTATTATAAGTAATAGGATACCTATATTTGGTATGTGCGTACCTTGCAAGGTCCTCATGCCCGTCAAACAGTTTTCACTTGACCTCGACCTCATTTCATGGATCAGTGAACAAGGTTAAGTTTTGGTGGTCAAGTCCATATCTCAGATACTATAAGCAGTAGGTCTAGTATATTCGGTGTATGGAAGGACTGTATGGTGTACATGTCCAACTGGCAGGTGTCATCTGACCTTGACCTCATTTTCATGGTTCAATGGTTATAGTTACCGTAGAAACTCGCCTAATAGTCGATCCTACTATAAGTCGGGTGCCCTTTTCAGCTCCAAATTCTAAGGATTTAGTCTTGACCCTCGTATAAGTCGGACAAAATTTGGGCATTTTTTTTTTCAGCTGACAGTAACTGAACGCCGGTAAAACCAATGCAAATCCAGGAATAATATTCATTTCTGCATTAATGTTTGTTTGGTTTGAATTTAGTTGATGCTCATCATGATAATTTATATTGCTGTTAATAATAAAGATGTATTCATTTCTCTTGTTTTGTTCACTGTTCAAATGTTTGATTAGCCATGTGTTGTTTACGTAATGCATCAATGATTTTGTAGGGTATGACTAACAACCTATTGTTTGAGAAAAGCGAATATAAACCAATATGAACCTGAAAAATTTAAAGTCAATCAACACTTGATGAAAATATTTTTCACAGCATACATAACTCGGTGTTAAATGAGCATGTACACTTCATAATTCTTATCATATTGTGATGATTAAAGGATTAAAAAAATTAAGTGAAGCTAATCAATATATTAAAATAACTAACTGCAACTCATTAGTGTCATCTGTTTACCTATCACTGATAGTTTTCACAACTTTAGTAAATACAACTCTTTGTCTCTTAATTGGGGTTATCAATGGATTATATTGGCTTGTCAATCAATTTTGTAATTTTTGTTTACCTGAGACACTTTAATGAATAATATTTTGATTTTGGGAATGAATCTTAAAATTATTTTTTGATTATTATATGATTTATGAGCATTAAATTGATATCATGATATCACAATAATGACACAATAACTCCGCTGAAAACATCCTTTCACATATTTGGTACATTGTTATCTCCTTTTCATTTTTGGTTCTTGGCTCTTCTTTTGGGTTTATAGGAAAACCATGTGACCATGAAAATCAATACACAAACCGGAAACAGTAGAATTTCAACACGAATTTGCAGAAAATGTTTACCAAAGAACAAATAAAACACAAAGACAGTATTGTAGTCATTTATTTTCAACAAAAACTTTTTATTTATTGATTTATGTAGGTTTGGCAATCAAAAACGTAGGAAATTCACTCCTGACCACTTTTCTCAAGCTTGGATTTTTCCTCTGGTCGCTAGATCTCGTCTATTAGTCGGTCCCCCTCTCTGGATTATGAATTTTACTCCCAATTTTCTGACTAATAAGCGAGTAGGAACGGTAAGTTTTTGTGTTTTGGTCTGTTTTTCTTATACTGTATGCAGTAGGTCTACTATATTTAGTGTATGGAATGATTGTAACGTGGACATGTCTAGCTGGCAGGTGTCATCTGACCTTGACCTCATTTTCATGGTTCAGTGGTCAAAGTTAAATTTTTGAGTTTTGGTCTTTTTTTCTAATACTTTATGCAATAGGTCAACTATATTTGGTGTATGGAAATATTTTATGATCTATATGTCAGTCGCGCAGGTTTTATTTGACCTTGACCCCATTTTCACGGTTCATTGCTCAGTGTTAAGTTTTTGTGTTTTGGTCTCTTTTTCTTAAACTATTAGCAATTAACTATATTTGTTGTATGGAAGAATTGTTAGCTGCACATGTCTGCCTGACATGGTTCATCTGACCTTGACCTCATTTTCATGGTTCATTGGTCAATGTTTAGTTTTCTTGGTTAATGTTAAGTTTATGTGACAGTTGTAATAAAGCTTTATATTTAGGACTATCAACATAATATCAATGATTAGTAAAGAAGGCGAGACATTTCAGCGTGTGCACTCTTGTTGCTTTTGGGATCAATATTCTTCTGAATGGGTGGACAGGGGGTACCCTTCTCCCACTTCCCACCCCCTATCTCCCACCTCCCACTTTAAGAATCTTTTTTTCTCCCCCACCTATTTGTTGTCTCCCACCTCCCTCAAAAGCTGTCCACCCTTCTCTTCTGCCAGCTGCGTCATTCATGCGTCCGTAGTCATTGTCGTAAGAATCAGGATTTCATTCATATCTGGCCCATTTCCGATGAATCATGTACAAATATTTCAATGGCCGAAGAGAAAAATTACAAAAATAAACGATGTTTGAGACGCTATTTGGAAGGGAATATGACGTTTTTAATGCAATACATGGATTACAAATTTACTTAAGGCATCTTTCATTACGTTCTTATAAATTAACAAACTTAATTTGCCGACAGTTGAAATGATTTGAAGTAAGCTCTCGAGGGATATACAATAATAATATGACTTTAAAATGACGATACTGATAGTTAAAAAAGGTCAGCAAAGTTAATTTTTAATTTCTTTCAAATCGAAGGTCCGTCGGGCGTAGCTAGTAACCAAAACGAAAGTCCAATTGCAATAGTGGAAGGTCACGGACCTCGGACCACCGCTAATTTGAACCCCTGGTCCTGGTTGATGGACAATAACTTTTGTACAAAACATAATTTAAAGCAAACTCATCAATTGAATTACCTCCCTTACACTGCTTTTAAATGATTAATGGACAATTACTTAAGACAATTTAAAAGCAGTGTAAGGGAGGTAATCCAAACACAATGTTTTGGTTTACCTCCCTTACACTGCTTTTAAATTATGTTTAAAGAAATGCATATTTATAAAGGAAGACCAGTAAAAATATCTGCAAATGTTGCATCTTTTTTTTTTTTACAAAAAAATCCATATGAAAGATTTGACACCATATTTACTATTCTATTACATGTATAAAATAGATTAAGTTAGCACTATGGTAAAATTAAATGGGTAATTATGGTTGCAAACTCCATTGGAAATTTGAATTGAGATTATGACCATATCTTGAGGTAAGAACTTTTTGGGGGGGAAAAGGAGGGGGGAGGTTAAAGTGGAGGGTCAATTTTTTTCTCATTTCAGATTTCAGAAATTAAAAAGAAAAATCCTTCAAATATTATTTTTTTGGCAAAAAAAAAGTGTGTGTGTGTGTGTGTGGGGGGGGGGGGTTATTACTCAACAGCATAGTGTATTGCACAAAAAATAAAAAAGGGCGTAATTTTTTTTAATTTTGTTGGGGCGGGGGGGTAGGGGGGTCAATTTGCAACAGCAAAGTGTATTGCACAAAAGCGAAAAATTGAATATAAATTCAAATCATATAACCAATTCTAAGTTCTTTGACTACAGTTATTCTGTGTCAGAAACCTTTTATGTGTCAAATATTTAATTACACTCCAAATTCAGACCTGTTTCAAGCGCGAATATTGTGTCCATTTTTGCCCCAACTGTTTAGGGTTGGACCTCTGTGGTCGTATCACAATGTTCTATATAAGCATGATAAGCCTGTTAATACTGTATTTCATATTGTACATTAAAAAAATATATGTTGAATCTTTCAATTAACTTTATTAAATCAATAGTTTTATCAATTATATCTGTCAAATCTTATGTTAGCAATTCCAAGATGATCTTTTTTGAAAACTATTATGATTCCCTCTTTATTGGTACAGATAATACTGTATACAAAATATTTTATATCAATTTGCCTTTCTTTTTTAAGCAAAATATACATTGAAACTTTGAAAATATTGAAGATATCAGGATTGTTCATGTTTCTATAAAATTTTTCTGTCAAAATGTCTGTCCATTTTCTTATGATAACAACATTGCATTTTACATGTCGTTTATTTAAAAAATAAGATGCAAATAAATTCATTTTTGTAAAAAAAGTCTTTATTAATATGAGCATGTATGAGGATAACATGTACATTGTATTCCAATACAGAAATTCATTAGTGTTGATTAACATGATTAATGCCAAACATGTTTATGGGAGTATTTTACTTTCTTATATGGAAGCTGCCATTTGACGCTCTAGATATTAACCTTTGCTATAAATTCCTACTGGTATATATATGATAAAGCCATACTAAGGGTTTTTGTCTCGCCTTGAGGGAGTCACAAAGTGAGGCATAGGAATGCTGTTTCCGGTGTTGGCGGCATCAACAATGCATTAGTTTGTGATTAGGTCAGTTTTGTTGGGAACCACTAGTGGTAGGTCAATGATATTTAGTATGCTGTTATATTAGCATAGGCACATCTCATTTCCATGGAGATTATTTGGCCCGCCCCCTCGGTAATAGTCTGTAGAAAGTGTATGTTAACAATTGCCACGTGCTTATTGTGCAACAGATCTTTACATCCCTAAACATACGACTATATTTAGTGACAATTTGAATGTGTTTAATCAACTAATAGAAGTTCCTGTGTATGTTTCTTGCACAAATGCATGAATGTCAACGTATATTTTCGTTTCCTGCTTTACCAAGTGTGTAGAATCTAGACGCTACCGTGTTTTTACCTCCAAATTGAAGAGTTCAAGTGCTACCATTGGTCAAGAATAATGTATTTGGAATAGGCATGACTTTAATCTACCGATAGATGGCGCAACATTGTTATCACAAATGTTGGCTTAATCTGCCAAGGGTGTAGAGGAGGGAAGTGGATTGTAACCCTTGGCTAGCGAAGATGGCAAACATATGACCATGAAAAATGTTTCCAGAAGTAGCTATTTTTGCACTTAGTTTTAGAAATCATATATTTTTGGAATCATTGTAAAGTAACCTATCATTTTAAACTGAAAGTGACATTTTCTAAACTGGAAGTAGCAAATTACCTCCCTTATTTCAGACAAAAATATATATAGAAACCATACATTTTTTGAATTGGTGTAATTTAATTTATCATATATGACACCGGAAGTAATAGTTGAAGTATACAATTATCTCCCTTATTAACAGGAAATACATAGAAATTATTGCTTTGTATCATGATGGCCACAGACCACAATTAAATTCCCCTATTAGTTCTTTATAACGTTTTGTTTCATTAAAAAAATTGAACCATGCATTTTTGTCAAATCTTTTGTGTGTGTAATGTATAGTACTAGTCCAAAAATATATCCAAAATTCAGAAAGATTGAACCAATCACTCTTACAAATTTAGGCAATACACATCCATACCCCTATGGACAAGTCAAGAAATATTCCGAAAACTGTAAATATCACCTTTTTGCACCTGGCCTAATCACTCTTTCCATATCAAAATCAGTTAAAATACAACATCCAAAAGTTTATTTCACCTCTCTTCTGTTATTTCCACCCCAAAAAAAACTAAGAAATGAGTGAGGAAGGGAAAGAAAAAAAATTAAGAAAAAATACACTCTAATTAAAAGGAACTATATTCGTGGACAACGAAAAGCGGGATCATTAATTGTGGTCTTGGGCCTGATGCGAATCTTTTACTTTCAATTGAAATTATTACGAAACAGCAGTTAGTTCTGATTGGTTTGCCTTTTGGTGTTGCTGATATTCTATTGGCTTGAAAGAGTTATAAAATTCAGATTGATGAATATGTTGCCAGGTTGCTATAGGATCACATATTGTTGGATAAGTGCTAGCTGATAGTCAAAATTCATACATTTATTATTATACATTTCTTTTGCTTTAATCTGGATAACAGGATTAGTTTTATTCACATTATTTCCTATGTTACTGTATGATGTCTATGTTTTTGATATCACATCATCAGCTTATACATACATGTATAATATACCAAAATGATAACTGATTCATTTACTTGATGCTGACTGATATTTTATTATAAGTTATTTATTTGATAAAAGTAATTGGTTTAACTATCACATTATACAATTTCAGAAAGTATGGGTTCAAAATGACCATTCAATAAAAGTTCAACAAAGCAACACGTATATAAACATCAACATTTTAGGTGTAACCCTTGGAACATGGTCATTAATGGATATCTGTTGCTTTGTACTTTAGATGATGATGAAGTCAAGAGTATCAATTTACTTGTACCTGACAGAAATAATTTAACTCATTAGAAAGAGAGACAGAGAGTAGATAGAGAGACAGATAGTAGAAAGAGAGACAGAGAGTAGATAAAGGGACGAGAGTAGATAGAGAGACAGAGAGTAGATGGAAAGACAGAGAGTAGAAAGAGAGACAGAGAGTAGATACATTGATTTAAAATTAATGGTATTGTGTGTCAGTTTAATTGAGGAAATCCAAACATAACCTTCTCCATCTATTGAATTATTGGTTTCTTTAACCATCTTATCATGCTTATGTTACATCCTTTTACACTCCCTTATTTGTGACCCCCAGAGAGGAGTCTATTCCCTGTTAGGTCACATTCTGTATCGATATTATTAATAATGATGAAACTCACTGAAACCCAATGTGCCCAAATAAAAGTATCAGAAAATTAAAAAATAATGAATATAATTTCAGAAAAGAAAAGAAAAACGTTTTCTCTAAACAAGAACACATTCAAAAACAGAAGCTGACATTAATTTATGACAATGTGAAGCACACCAATTTGGAATGGTTGAATGTGTATATTTTTTAAATCAGTGAAATGTAGTCTTTCAGTTGACACAGGAAATGCCTTTTTAAAACCTTAATAGCTGGGCATATTCATTATTTCAAAGAAATGAACTATAAACTAAATATTTTTGGAATCTGTGTAAGATGAGTTATATTCTGACCCCTTTTTTTCTTTTGAAAGAAAGTGAAATTAAGGAAGATTTAAATATATATCTGAATAAATGTTAACCCCAATATATTTATTTATGAGCTTTCTCAATGTCCAGCACTACTTACTTTATTTAAGGAAAGGGTTTCTGTGGGTAAAAATATATGAGAGTTGCATCAGTATAGATCTCAGATCAATCCAAGTGGGAGCAAACAGTACTCTCAATTAACATTCCAGAGACCCTGTGATTGAATATCACCCCGCAGCTGACACGGAGGAAGTTTTGTGGCAGAATAATGCAATAAAACAGTAAGCTGAAAATAATTAAACCAAAACAACAACAAAAATATGAAAAGAATAATTTAGAATAATATTACAAGTTGATTTAATAATGTTATTAAATAAAAGAATATTATGGCACAATTAGGTTTATAACTGGTGTATAAAAAGGGACATACAAAATTTTGACAGTGGTTTTGTATTTCTGGCTAGTAATTTCATGGTCGTTTAGGCAAGTTGTTAAAAAGTTGATGTCAAATGCTGGTACATTCGAAAATTCTTTTCTTTCATCATAAGTTTAAACATACATGTAACAATAAACAAGCAGTTTTTGAAATAGATTTCAGAAAACAATGTGTCATTGGGAGAAGATACTCCAGAGAGAGATACAGAGGAATTAACTGATGTAAAAAGTCATCATCGTGAATTGTCTACCTTGATGGATTGTTACAGATTAACAGGTGATAAGAATTAACTGATGTTCAGCATAATACTACCTGTCAGTAAACATATATATGCATTGATTACTGAAATTGAGGAGTAGTAACTGTAGAATACTGTGGTGTTAAATGCAAGAAATTTGTAAACCCTTCCTGAATTTGAACTATATGCTAAAAAACCTTTATTTGAACATATTTGTACTTGTACTTATTTTAATTCTTGTTTCAAATTTTCTTATTTCAATTGTCAATATATATCACAAATAATACAAAGGCAAAGCATAATGTTTGCCATCAAAAAGTAATTTGAAGTATGAAATCTCTGTTTCAACAATATACAGGAGGCTATGTGATTAGTATATAATTTGTTCAATAATGATAAATGATGTCACAAAGTGAAATTGGTGATTAGTTTTCTCTGTTTGCAAAAGCTTTTTGTCTGAATCCTTCCTTGTTTTCTGACTAAATTTTACATTGTTCAGATGTAAAGTTTTTATAATTGACAAACCATTGATATTTGAAACATTGTTGTAATTATCATCTACTGGTAAATAACCATTTATTAATAGAATTCTGAATCATGAAGAACCATTTAGCATGTACTACAGAATTGGAAGTGCATGTAGTACCTTTGTCTAATATAGGGTTTTTGTCTTGCCTCAACAAAGTTGAAAAAGCAGGCCTTAGGCAAGCAATGTATTAGTTTGTGATTAGGTCAGTGTAAGGGGAACCACTAATGATAGGTCAATTATATTTGGTAGACATTTGTATTACTGTGGATTCATTTATTTTCGTGGGTACCAATTTTCGTGGATTAAGGAAAACTTACATGTTCGTGGATATTTAATTTCATAGTTTTTGACAATGTCTGCATACAAGCCTATAGTAAATTTACCATTCGTTGAACTTTTAATTTCATGGTTAACATATAACAACGAAATCCACGAAAATTGGTATCCAACGAATGATAATGAATCCACAGTAGCATTGGCACATTTCATTTCCATAGAGATTATATGGACCCACCCCTCAGCCATGGTTTATTGACTCTGAAACTTTAGCATAAATTATATGTTAAGGTTTTTGATTACTGTAAATTCATAAATTATTGCGATGTTTTTATTATTGCGAAAAATGCGACAGGATAATAATCGCAATAATTTAAACTCGCATTTTGAAATTTTTTATATGAATTAAACAGGATTTTTATCAATATCACAAAAATTAAAATCGCATTTCTAAAATGACAAAATCGCAATAATAAATGCACGCAATAATTTCTGAATTTACAGTATTGTGTTATTATTTTAAGGTGAACCACTAATGGTAAGCCAATGATATTTGGTATGCAGTTGAAAGCATTTGTATGTCTCATGTGCATGCAAATTATATGGCCCTGCCCCTGATCATGGTTTATTGACTTTGAAACTTTTGCATAGTTTGCATGTTAAAGTATGTGTTTATACCAGTTGAATTTTAATTTCAACATTTGCATTATTGATATTATTGTTTTTCGTTGCAAACCTGGCAAAACATTTCTCTGCAATTATACAATTATCATTACACAATTATACATTTATATTTAATCAGTTTGACATATTTTAGGATTTTCAGTGTTTTCTGTTGACAATACCAACATTATATTCAGTTATGACACATCACACAAAGGCATTTGTCACGAGACATTTTACTTAGAAATTCAGGATTTGGAAAATGAGAATTTCAAGGTGATGAGACATTCTTTTCCTGGTTTTATTCCTGTCTTGGATTTGGAAGAAACATTACTGAAGGTAGACCCTAGACAGTTTCTGCTTAAGCTCAATGATTACTTGTTTGCATTTATAACTAGAAGAGAAGAGGCAAAAATTGTACAGGTAAGTAAGTAAAATAGAAATCAGTTGGCAAGTCAAAATCAATCTTATATTTTGAAATATTAATCAAATTAACTCTCTTTGCCAATGGTAAATTTTCTTATTGATAAATCGATATATATAAATATGCAACACACATTGTGACATCCATACTCTGACTGAATTGAATTAGAACTTCTATATTTAGAAGTAATGTTTAGTATTGGTATTGTCATCTCATGATGTCACACAGTGAATTAGGTGATTAGTTTTCTCTGCTTGCAAAAGCTTTCTGTCTGAACCCCTCCCTTTTTTCTGACTGGATTTTTACTGTCACATGATCAGTTGGATGGGTGTCAGAGTGGAGCAGAAATTGTTTATCCTTCTAGAAAACATAATTTTGTCTCTAGTTTTATTGGGGTGCATGTTTTCAACATGTTATTCCTCAAGTTTACAAAAAGATAGTGCAGAGATATTATAAAAAGTATGTCTTTCCATAATTATAAATTCCTTCTTCAATTTATCAGTTAGAGCTCAGACATAAATAAGTCTAAATCTGCTTTTGACTCATAGAGGTCTAAATTTGTAGGTTTCAAGATTTGTGTCCCTTTAATTTAAGACAAATTATGACTTCAATAAGTCAATTAGTGTTAAGCAAGAAATATTTGACCTGAATTAAAAAGTTGCAAATATTGACTCCTACAAGTCGATAAGTTACCAAAATTGGTCAACTTCAAGACCCAAACATATTTATAAAAAGGTCGAGCATCTACATGAAATTATGACAACATTGAAAGACAATGCTTTGTCTTCTAAAGAAAAATATGCATGAGAGCCTAAAAAAATGGAGATAATGTTTATTTACTTTACAATGCAACCATCTATAACCACACAAAATGAGGAAAATTATCTTATGTTAAGTAAAAATGTTCAATTAGATAATTAAATATAGATAGCTCAGGTCCTTGTGAACTCTCAGACAGGTTTATGATGTCATAGGTGGTGCACTTTGGCCACCAATTAAAATTAAGTCTTTTCATAAACATAAATAGACCTAAACAAGTCTGTCATTTTCTGACTTAGATAAGTCTGAAAATAAAAACACATTTTTATAATAAATACATTTTTTTACTTCTGTAAGTCAAAAACAAAAAACGACTTGTTTATGTCTGAGCTCTGACTGTTTATTGCACCTACTATATCCATCTATCTTCACCTGTTAGTTAAACCATTTGTCAATTATTCTTTATTCTTTATATTTTAGCACCTCATTATTCTCTATTCTTTATATTTTAGCACCTCATTATTCTCTATTCTTTATATTTTAGCACCTCATTATTCTCTATTCTTTGTATTTTAGCACCTCATTATTCTCTATTCTTTATATTTTAGCACCTCATTATTCTCTATTCTTTGTATTTTAGCACCTCATTATTCTCTATTCTTTGTATTTTAGCACCTCATTATTCTCTATTCTTTATATTTTAGCACCTCATTATTCTCTATTCTTTATATTTTAGCACCTCATTATTCTCTATTCTTTGTATTTTAGCACCTCATTATTCCTTTTCTTTGTATTTAAGCACTTCATTATTCTCTATTCTATTTTTTTTGTTCATTTTTCTGTATTCTTTATATTTTTATTATGCCCCCGCCGTAGCGGAGGGAGCATTAAGGTTTACCATTGTCCATCTGTACAACCGTCCGTAAGTCCCCAAATTGGTCTCTGTTCTCTAATTTAGTTTCCCTTGACCAAATGTTATGAAACTTATACACAAACTTTAATTCAAGTGGTTTTTGTTTATAACTATACGGATGATGTTGTTTTAATGATATATTATAATTAGGGATGTCAACTCAGAGAACAATTACTTATCAAGTACTGGTTGGTTTAATCGAGCGATACTCAAGTACTCGCTCCGGAATATACCTACAACACATAAACACAAAAATATGTATTTTACATTCTGTAGTTTGTTGTTCAACAGACGAAAAAAACATCTACATAAGCATCTGGGACAAGGAATTACACACCATAATTAATAGCTCATTACCTACAAGTACTAATTAAGTAAAAAACAATAAACTAATCAATATGATTTAATGAACATCTATTAAAGAATTATAACAAAGAAAACCCATATCAAACAATGTATAAAGAGTGGAAAAGTCAAAATCGTCAACCGAATCAAGAGAACCATCAAAAGTATGTAATTTACACTCCAAAAATAGTTAATTCCACTATTTTCATATGTTTTATTACAAAAGCTATTGATAAGTTCATTGTTATAGGTTAAGGCGAAGTATACGTAATTGCACGCCTCTAGCGGAATTCGGGATACAAAACGTGCGTCGTTAGTTACGCAAGTTATCTCCCCTACTCCAAGAACGGGAAATAGGCACATGAAAGAGAAATCATCATTTTAATGACTTTGTGCGGTCTATCACGAACCCAAACAAGTATTCCTGTGCTATGTCAAAATTTCAAAGAAATTAGCTGACTCCAATCAGAAATCTTAGATCTATCTTAGTATCCTATTTATTTCAACAGAAATTAAAAATAAACAAATAAACTAATGACAATTCTGCTTCTAGTCGTATCAAACTCGTTAAAATCAATCCAGAATTGACCCAATATTATTTGAATGAAATTCACAGTGTCAGTGTAGCGTAATCTAGAAGGTAACAATAATTACCGGTAAATTGTATGTAAATATGTATGTTGAACTAGAAAGGCGTTGGGATGTCCCGTTTTTTAAGCAATTGAAAATTTTAGGATAATTTATATTTGTGTGAAAAGTATAAACGATACTAAAGGGTAATCGACCACAAGTGAAACATTTTTAACATGTATACATAAGTGGAAGGACAAAGCTTACAGAAAAAAAAAACGAACAAAAAAATCAGATTCCGTCTACAAAACATTACACAGAAACTAAGAATTTAGCACTGTGACATTTATCTCAGAATAAGTAAATCATTTATCTCATCCAAATCTCAGTTCTCAAGGAGCAGAAAATAAACAGGTGTCTTCTATTCCGTCCGCAATTTTTTGGGAAAGTAAAATCTAAATTTAGAACCATGGTTGAAACTGAAACTACACATGTATGATAAAAATAGAACATGCATTTTTTTTCTTGATCAAATTCCAATTTCGAAAGGATAGCGAAATTTGCATTCTTGTGTTGTTCTTTTGTGTATCATTGAGAAGCAGAGAATACAATTTTGAAGTAATTTTTTCTTCTCAAGTCTCAATATTGAAGATTACTAGTATTTTAGAATTATAGAGTATAAGATATAGGGAAGAAGGGAGAGGGTGAAGAAAATAATGTTACTATGTCGGGGCCTTTTATAACGTTAGGGATTTTTCTCATGGTTGATGGCCTTATGGTTGCCTATTATAATTGCTTATATCCACTTCATTCAATAAGGCAGCTGGGGTGTCAAAATTTTCGGCGATAAATGTTTCGTAAGCTTCTGTAAAAGACTTTTCGGTCAAAGTAATTTCGAATATCAATATAAAAACTGGGGATCGCGGACCTTGTTTTTTCGTAACAATACATTGAAATTATCCACATTTAGGGTATTTTATTTTGTTTATATAGGGGAAACTTAAGTTTTCCTTTTTGAAGAAACATTAAACGATAGAATTGTCTAAAATTCGAAGAGATAATTTCGTTAATTAATACTTCTGAAATATATATATATATATATATATATATAAAGGGGGTCACGGGCCTAATTTTCCTGAAAAAAAAATATTGATAGTTCAATCTTTAAATTTCAAGTTGTAGGTATTTTGTTGTATATTGAATGATACTTGGTAAACTATTTGTAAAACAAATAAGTAATTTTGCAACATGACCAGAAAGGACGCTAAGAAAAAATACACCCGATAGATCTACCTTAAACTGTGGCAAATATTTGTATAATTTGCAATGATACCACATCTCCTTATTTTTATATCACATTAAAAAACCCAATTTATTTGCATTAGATACAGGCACAATACGCAAGGTAAACTCGTATAGCATTACGTTATGAACAGTCTCCTTGCCAACTTCCGAAGCAAGGTTGTCGGCTCTCCGAACTTTCTAGAGGTCCTGATTTTATTGCCGAGTTTATGAGCTTCGATCCTTGCTTAGAAGTGGTCTCCTTACATTATACTGGATACAATCTAATGAATTTACACTAGAAACTGGTTTCATCATACTGGATGATTACATTCTAATAACATCGCCCTTGGTACATTCGTATAGCATTACATACGTACATTCGCATAGCATTACATACGTATATTCGCATAGCATTACACACGTACATTCGTATAGCATTAGATACGTACATTCGTATAATTATCATTACATAGGTACATTCGTATAGCATTACATACGTACATTCGTATCGCATTACATACGTACATTTATTTCATGACACCAGTACATTGAATTTTATATCATGACACCAGCACATTTACAGCATATAACTATAATACACAAAGCTTTAGACTTAGACTTAACAATACGGCTTTAGTATTACAATATACACAATGCTTAGGCATAACACAGGCAGTGATCTATGCAACGGGAAGTTATATAAAAAACTCCGATTTGTTTTATTTTGCTGAAATTCATATACGGGTCTTCTTTTGACCTTATTACAGCCATTCTCAAGATAATACGCATTTGCAGATTTCTTATTTTTTATGAGTCGTACATGTGGAAATTTAAGAAATAATGGTACAAGAAAGTATTTTCTTTGTTAATGAATCTCCAGCAAACATTATACCATGTATAATGCCTTGTCGTGTAGTTAAAGAAAAGGGAAAGCTATCGAGACAGGAAATTTTCAAGTAAAATTGTAGAATCACGTGCACGTGTCTGAACTTGACAAATAGAATGGGTTGTGTACGCAATACCTCGCATAGTGCCGGAAATGGTGAGGATGAAAAGAAGCGATCCCAATATTATAACGAAATTTTTCAAATATGTATAGAATCATTCTGTACTAATCTGGACAACTCCATATTTTATTTAAAATTATTAGAACAATACAAATATTTCAAAAAAAAGATGTGGAACCCCTGTCTAATCAAGAAAAGATGGAGTTAAAGTCTATACAGTAACTTTCTTTCACTTGCAGTATATTTATTTGCCAATTTGCATTATTTTGGCAGCAGAAATATCCTTAAACCTTTTTCAGTTTGTAAAATTATCAACCATGACAACCGATTACGCTTTTATTTTTTTTAGCATTTCCAATACTTAGGAAAATGTGCTACACGCACTCACGATTTGTATGACAATACTGTACAGTACAATTGGTATACTAGCGTTATAGAGTAGAATTTGTGGTGACGTTACAGTAGACATCAATAACGTCGCCGAATATTTTATAATTTTTCGCTAAAAATCAAACTTCAAAAGAATATAGCTTGAAAACTAGCACGGTTGCTAAGGACTTTCTTTGCACCAATGGATTCGTCGTTTATTTTTGAATCGCATTTCGAACTTCAACAAAATTCTGTGGACCAACGAATTAGAAAATCATGATAAAGTAAAATTATCTGCCGTTTTTTATGATTTTCCCTATATATCCTTTGTATTTCTGGCGTATCATGCTGTTAGTTTTAACAGCTTGTATCTGAAAAACGAAAACGGTTACCCCCTTTTTTTATTTTATATTCTGATGTAATTTTACAAGCAAAATCCACATGTAAAATATAAAAAAATTCTGTGGAGTAGTTATATTACGTACACTTCGCCTTAAGGAACTAGTTAAAAGCACTGAAAGATTAGTAGTAGAACACTTACTAGAGGCCAAGATCAAACAATATTTTGCTTCTTTTTTAGTGTAGTTTAGGTAACCAATACATAGTAGGACTTTCAAATGTTCAGATGGGCCCTTAAGGTGACCTGTGATAGTGACATGATTATTTACTATTTGACTCTCTGTGGAGTGTAGATCAGGCATTAAAAATTTTACCATTTTGTTACCCTCATCCTTTTATATCGTTCTATATACATGTAGGTATGGATTTTGCTCAAAATTGAAGGTTTGTGTAGTTGCTTATGTTTTTGCTCGTTGGCCTTTTGTGGATAGTTGTTTCATTGAAAATCAAAGGAAATCTTATTGTCCCCCGCATAACGCATTGCGTGGGGCATGGAAATACCGGGCTTCCGTCTGTCCGGTCTTGTTAGTGCTCTCACAGGTACAATTCTTGCCAGATTTTTATAAAACTCATACTATACTATACTATAATAATGGCTGATCAACTTTTTTTAAAAGAGTTATGCCCCTTGGAAATATTAAATTTATGGAAAATGGCCTCGTTAGCACTCTCACGGGTACAGTTCTTGCCAGATTTTTATAAAACCTATACTTTAGGTTAATATCAGCAATATCTCGGACAAGTTCTATAATGTTGAACTATCGACTTTTTTTAAAAGAGTTATGACCCTTGGTAATATTAAATTTATGGAAAATGGCTGTGTTAGCGCTCTCACAGGTACAATTTTTTATAAAACTTATAGTATACTATAAGTAATGCCCTTGAAGGTCTGTTTGAAATATTTAGTATACAATAAAAAAAACTTTTTTGTCCCCCGTGTACACTTTTTATTTATAAATTGTTTTAAAGAACAACAAAAACTAGAGGCTCTTAAGAGCCTGTGTCGCTCACCTGTATCTACTGTGGTTTTGGAAATCATGTAAAATACGGTTAAAATCTTAATCAGGGCTCACACTACTTCAAAATCATAGGCAGAAGTGACTTCTCTTTTTGAAACTAGTAGGGAGGAGTGATGAGATGAAAGAGAAGTGCTAGTTCGCTTGCGGAGCTACAATATTTGGTTTTTACTATAATATAAAGGGCCATATGTATCCTTTTTTTTGTATAGGTGTTCAATTCATACCAGTCAATTAAAGTAACAGTTGTTTCAGTTTATGTCTTAAATAGTCATTTTTAGTTGCACAATTATATTGGTCCTCTTGTCAGAATCTACCAGCTAAATATCTAGCACTACAAAGAACTTTTTTATATCAAAAAGGAAAAAGAAAGTATCATATATCAATTAAAATGCAATTAAAAAACTATGCTGTTTATCATCTTAATGAAATTCATTGTTTCTCATTAAAAAGATATAAAATTTAACAATGTTAAGCAACTTTAATCAATAAATTATGATAATAGATACCCTAATAATGATTGAGGCCAAGTTTGGTTTAATTTGGCCCAGTAGTTAAATAAAAAACAGAAGATTTTTGAAAAAATTTACAAAAATTACCAATAAATTGCAGAAAATGACTTTAAAGGACAATAACTCCAATAAGATGTCAATTGCCAATTTTGGTCATGTTGACTTAATTGTAGATCTTTCTTTGCTTCATATTTTTGCTGTTTACAGTATATCTCAAGTATATTAAAGATAATTAACAAAAAATGCAAAATTTCCTTTCCTCTGCTCCAAAATTTATTTTACCCAGGGCCTGTATAATGCTGGAAATTGGTTTAAATTGGTTTTTTTTAACATCTTTCAAAAAAATTTGGGCAAGGGTTTTGACCCAGACTAACCTGCCTGGTCTGGGGGGCATTCACACAATATAAGTATGCTGAAAGAAAAGATATAATGGTTTTTAGAAAAAGTAACACTAATTTATTCTGAAAATCGAACATATCAAGGAGGAATTATTAGCAACAACAAAAAATTGTCAGTTGAAACCTGTGCTTGTTTAAATGTATTTGTCAAGCAGTTCTCTTTATGAGCTTCATATATATCTATGATTATTTTCAGGGAAAATTAAATGTAGATTACACTGAACCTGTTGACTTTATTGAAATAAAGATAGGAAATTCTTCAGATATACTTCAGCTAGAATTCCAGTTAACATACACTGATCTACTTCACACAATGCCATCAAAGACTAGATTAACTGTAATTGTTAATGGTGAGTACACTGATCTACTTCACACAATGCCATCAGAGACTAGATTAACTGTAATTGTTAATGGTGAGTACACTGATCTACTTCACACAATGCCATCCAGGGCTCGACAATAACGCTTGTCCGATTGTCCGGTACCAGAGGAAAAAAAGGTCGGACAAGTAAAAGCTATATCAAGCTTGTCTGACGGGACAAGTAAAATTATTCTGCAGAAAATAAATTATTAATCCAACTTTGATGAACAAAGTAATTATAAACCAAAAACAAGAAAAGAAGATAAAAACAAGTATTAATTTGACATGCTTACTTGCAATCGATAATTTAAAACTGGTTCTTTGTCAGGTACTATTTAACAGTTCTTGGAAACCAGTCTTACTGATCCGAATATCGCTGCGCTTTGTAGATAAGGTAAATTTACAAGACAGTTCGTCACCAGCTTGGAAGCGATTCGGCTCCAAGTTTAATAGACAGTTAGTTTGGCACCGTAGGAGACATATTTAATAGACATAATTAAAGGACAGTTTGGTAACGCAGGAGACATTACGGGACCAAGACAAATCAGTACCTCATTTTCCTACCTTATTCTGTTGCCAGGCCATAATCTTGCCGGCGAAATGACGATTTAAGTCGCCAAAGAATTTTGAAAATCGCTAAATCTCGCCAGCCGACTGACTTCATGGCGAAGTCAAATCGCTATGAAAATTGGTAAAAGGGAGACAACTTGTGAATTACAAGTCTCCCAGGTAAAAAAAATGGCGACTGACAAGGAAAATCGAGATTTTCGAAACGACCCAGGACTAATACTGTCGACGATCAAATTAAATAAATACAACGGCGACTTTGAGCATCATAGGATATAACATTCAAAAACTATTCAAACGGAAAACTGACCGTCTGTTAAAGTTATCATTTTACGATGATTTTTATCTGAGGATGTTGCGTAATCACTCAGCTGAGTTGTTTTATTTTTATTTATTACGAGTCGATCAAATTGTACTATTCAGTGGGTTAAGGGTGGGAATTAACGGTAGATATTATATTCATTGAATAAAAATTGAAATATAAAAGGTAGTAAGACAGCTGATGGATAATGTAATTGCAAACGTACGACACGCGACCAGCTATGATCAGCAGTGGAATTTTTTTCACGACAATTATTTCGTTGATAGGGAAATGATCTTTAAAAAATTATAGAAATTAGCTCTGTATTGGTTAATCAAAATGTGATTGACAGATATTTTCATTTATAGGCTTACAATCTTTAACGAGAATCTAAATTTACAACTACATGTAACATGATGTCCTGGACATTCAATAATGTTTAACAAAATAATGACAAAGTGGTGATATAAAGTAAATTCCCAGTCATGTGAAATTCATCAGGTAAAATGGGAATCATATTTTTCTAGACATTTTAAAATAAATTGAGGCAGATGCACATGAATTTGATGCATCATAATATTACTAGGCTACTCCCTCATGTCCCAAGCAACAAATTTTATTTAAACTTAAACTCAAGTTGACAGTACAATGAATAAATAACAACTATATTGTCTAAACCCTTTTATGAAGAACTTTCTATATATACATTTTGTGCAATAACATGAAAAAAACATAAACATATAAAGCAATTTCCTTAGTGATAAGCACGAGAACACTATGCAACCGAAACGGTAATGGAATCTCACTTCTCCAAGAAATTGACCACTTCTCCCTTCTCTCTGATGGAAGGAGAAGTCACTTCTCCCTCTCCAAAATCCTAGATTAGGCCCTGTGTTGCTTTATAATAAATACCATACCGGTAATTTTTTTAACAAAAATATTTTTTAAATAAAATGGAAGAAATTATTTACCATAAAATTCACAAAACCATATTTGATCATATGTAGAAAAAAACAATACTTGCAATACGGTGACCTATAGTTGTTAATTTCTGTGTCATTTGATCTCTTGCAGAGAGTTGTCTTATTGGCAATCATACCTCATCTTCTTTTTTTTATTGATTGTATTTGAATAAACTTTTTTCAACTTAAAAAACCAGGATACAATTCCAATGAGTGTACATTGGTAATCCTATCAGACGGTGCCTCATGTGCAGAGTCTGATGAGACTTTGGCATTGATGAAAACTAGAACCTAAGTCCTGTGACATGACTAGATTCAGTTATTCTCGACTAATATTTTTGAAAAGTATTGCAAAAGATATGTTAAAATAAAATTCTGTTCTATTGTTTTAATTCAATCAACTTAAAATGCAAAAAAGGTTATTATTAAGATTTTTTTTGGACAAGTTACAATTTCATTCGGACAAGTAAGTTTTGGTATGTACTTGTCCTACTGGACAAGTTGAAAAAAAAGTTATTGTAGAGGCCTGCCATCAGAGACTAGATTAACTGTAATTGTTGATCTACTTCACACAATGCCATCAAAGACTAGATTAACTGTAATTGTTAATGGTGAGTACACTGATCTACTTCACACAATGCCATCAAAGACTAGATTAACTGTAATTGTTAATGGTGAGTACACTGATCTACTTCACACAATGCCATCAAAGACTACATTAACTGTAATTGTTAATGGTAAGTACACTGATCTACTTCACACAATGCCATCAAAGACTAGATTAACTGTAATTGTTAATGGTGAGTACACTGATCTACTTCACACAATGCCATCAAAGACTACATTAACTGTAATTGTTAATGGTGAGTACACTGATCTACTTCACACAATGCCATCAAATAGATATAAGAAGATGTGGTATGAGTGCCAATGAGACAACTCTCCATCCAAGTCAAAATTATAAAAGTAAACCATTATAGGTCAAAGTACGGTCTTGAACACGGAGCCTTGGCTCACACCGAACAGCAAGCTATAAAGGGCCCCAAAAATTACTAGTGTAAAACCATTCAACCAGGAAAACCAACGACCTAATCTATATAAAAACCGAGAAACGAGAAACACTAATGAACCACATCAACAAACGACAACTACTGAATATCAGATTCCTGACTTAGGACAGGTGCAAACAAATGCAGCGGGTTTAAACGTTTTGATGGTACCAAACCTTCACCCTTTTTCTGAAACAATAGTGTAACATCACAACATAGAAGACTACATTAACTGTAATTGTTAATGGTGAGTACACTGATCTACTTCACACAATGCCATCAAAGACTACATTAACTGTAATTGTTAATGGTGAGTACACTGGTCTACTGCACACAATGCCATCAAAGACTAGATTAGCTGTAATTGTTGATAATTATATATAATATCCTATTCAAAATATTGCCTTCCAATGATTAATACAAGGCAATGTTTAATTTTTAGTTAGGATGCATTCTTTACCCTTCAAGTTCTTTAAACACTTTGACTACTGAAAACATTTTTGTTTGTTTAAGTGATTGCTACACAGATTTGTCTCTTTACAGCTCCACTAAGCTAGGCTAACAAGAAAAAAGAATAACATTTGATAAAAAAATTGAATTATCTGTGAAAAATCCAGATTTTTTCTGGTCTGTGACTTTCATCGAAGAGAGCAAAACATATAGCGATTACAATCCGTCTGTGGTGGGGACAGAGTAAACTATTTATATAAAGGTTTATATTTAAGAAGGAAGAAGACCTTAGTGCTTTATACCTTTTATTCTGATACCTTATGCTACAAAGTTTCTGTCTGTCATATGTCCATTGTCCACAGCCTTATTTTCATGGGTTAGCGACTACTTGAAAAAAAAAAGTTTTCTTGTCATGTTAAATATTCAATTATTATAATTAACAGGATAACTATATTTGGTATATGGGATCCTTGCAAGGTTTACCAGTCCATCACCTTACCTCCACCTCATTTCAGGGAATAGTGATCAAGGTTAAGTTTTTGTGGTCAAATCCGTATCTCAGATACTATAAGCAATAGGTCAAATATATTTTGGTGTATGGAATGATTGTAAGGTCCCTTAGATGTACATGTTCGACTGGCAAGTTTCATCTGACCTTTACTTTTTTCACAGTTTATTGGACAATATTTATTTTTTGTGGTTTGGTCTATTTCTGTAATACTATAGGTTGCACTTTGTAAATACAGCTGTTTTTCAAACCACGCCTCTTTTGGGGAGATATAGAATATTCATAGACAATTGATTTTGTTTATGTACTGGTTCCCGGGTATGATCTCTATGTTTCATCTCATAGAGACATAACTTGGGAATGTTACCAGTAAATATACATATTCATAGTGATCAAGTTGAAGTCTGTGGAAATCCTTAAGTCAAGGTTGGGGTAGTATAGAAATTTAATGTAAGTTTAAACTCTTAGAAGTTCGGGGCATATAAACGTTGAAAAATAGAATGCTGCACAGCCCTATATTTTGACCTTTGAAAAAAATAGTAGTGCATATGAACTTTCCATTCTAGTTTAAATTGTTTAGAAGTGCTTAAATTTACTCTTTGCAGTCATTGAAACTCATAGATCCTTCCTGAATATTATTGGTGGGGTGTTTTTATCCTGTCGATAACCCAAAAGTAAGCCGTGGAACCTAAATGTGCTTTTTGTCATCACGGCATAAAAAAATACAAGCTAGAAATACAAAAATACCTCAATAAAACTTACAATAGTGTGTTCTATCCTAAATATGCACTAAATATTCCATATTGCTAGAAACAGCAGAATAATTTAGGAAATTTGAGGCCCCAGGGGGAAAAAACAGAGAAAAATGGCTACCCCCTGGGTCATAAAACAAATAATTTAACTTGTAAATGCTATGACTTTATTATTTTAAAGGTCTTTTGTATAGAAACCAATAACTGTACTTGGAAGTTATGCAAAATCAGATGTTAGCAGTCATTTCTATAAAACTTTTAGAGAATTCATACATCAGACTGATATCTTCATTCATACAACTTTTGCAAATATGGCTTTGTTTAAACACTTCTAGTTCATATATTAGCTAAATCATGTTAGATATATGGTAAGAGATGATACTGTTGTGACAAGATTTCTTAACTGACCATTTGAGGCAGTAATTGTTAACTTTCATTGACAAATAGGCATACAGTTAGATGTGGACTGGAGACAGAGGCAGGATTGGACACTTTATATAATCTTGAATATTGGAATGATTAGCTGCTAAACATTACATTTATAGTGTTCTGAAATGCTTTCAATTTGTTATCAGAATAGTTTCAAACAGGTTCTAGATATTTCATGTCAGAAAACATTCTCATAGGGTAAGCTGGCAATAAGTAAAGAGCATTGGGCCATTATATTTGGTGTATTGAATGATTGTAAGGGGTACATGACTGTCTGGCAGCTTCATATATATGAACCTGACTTGATTGCAAGGGGTAGGTTTTAGCTGACCTTGACCTTTGTTCATTGTTCATTGAACAATGATAAGTTTTCCACTATTGTATAAGCATTTTTTGGTGTATGTAATTATTACATGGTGAACATGCTGTCTGGCAGGGTTCTTCTTACCTTGACCTCATTTTAATGGTTCATTGATAATGTTAACTGTTTGTGATGCTTGTAGTAAAACCATTATATTTTATCGCACCGCAGGTAAATTATCACGTTGTGATTGGTTTAACGCCGTCACGTGTTGACCCCTATGGATCCGTAGGGTGTTAGTAAATTTCAGAGGGGGTTCATGATGTCACGTCTACTGTTAATGGTGACGTCATCTATTAGTGTTGTTACAAAACGCAGCAGAAAAAGTCTCACGGGCGATAAATTCGTTATACGGTTCACTACTGACCCCCTAAAGACCATAGAGGGTGAATAAAATCCATAGGAGATAATTTTATCATCTTCTGCAGGGACGAAAAAGTGCACAGCAAAATCCAGTTAAGTTTTAAATTTTTCTGATACATTAGATGAATTTGAATTTTATTTATCTAGGGCATAATGCATAATGCCTTAAAACTTTTTCCAGATGCACAGGTTAATCTGTACTCTGTAAATTTTGAGGTGAAAACGCAGCCATTTTAGCCAAAGGGTCCACATGAACCTTAATCTTATTTTGATAATTTATGGAAATTAATTATCACCTCTCCTTACTATCATTTAAATAGGTGCTCCATTATGCCTATCAAATACTAGTGTTACTACTATATACATGATATATATCATGTATATGGTCTTTCAAATTACAAACAAAAAATATTGCAGCTTGGACATTTATGTACAGGACCCTTTTGATAAAAAGTGAACTGTTTATTATTACTTTTGTAAATTCTTTCTTCATATTTACCGTACATATTCATGGAATATATATTAATGTTTTTCTTGTATTTGAATTACAGATGATTCTGAAGGCCATGGTGTAAAGCCAAAGGAAAAACTTGTCAAAGAATGGAAAAACAATTTACAAACAGAACTGCTGACAGATGCAGTTTTTAATATTATGAAGGATTACAAAAATCTCACATCTTACCATTTTGATAAATAGAAATATATCCAAGCTTTAAAGGGGCATTAGCTCCGAGATGTAAAAAATATTAAAATATGATTTTTTTTGTTCAATCATTAAAGAAAGTGAAATAGTGAAATAATAATTCAATAATTCAATTTTATCAAAATAAGCTAAGAAACATCGCTGATGAATTATTCACTTGAAACATAATCATGTGACCTTCAATTTTACCCCTTAGCTAGAGATGGGTTATGCATAAACTAGGCGTGTTTAGCTATTAAAATGAAAAAAATTTCAACATTGATTGTGAAACAAGGGTTAACCAATTAGTTAACTGATTCAATCCACAAAAACTCATTCTTATATAGTTACAAAAGATGATTAACATATTTTTTTAACCTGTAATATGAAAACTAACAGACCTAGAAAAATTTAATTGTATGTGTTCGTTATCTATTTATATCTATATTTATGTTTATATTGGTTTATATGGCTGTCTGCAGTCTTTGAAGGTCACCTCAATGGTTAATTAGATGACGTCTAGACTAAAATACACACAGATGCTGATGCATATTATCAAGTCCATGCATCGTTAATTGTTTATTTTTAGACTTTTCATAATTTGGATATAGTTTTAGTATGTTACAGGCCTGGGGCCATTACATTGCAATGTAATGCATTACATTGCAATTACTTTGTGATTCTTCCATTACAATTACAATTACAATTACATTTTTTCTCACATGTAATGCATTACATTACAATTACTTTGCCTGTTGAATGCATTACATTACACATTACTTTTTCAATATAAAAACATTTAAAAAAAACAGATTTTTATAAGAAATTTATAAATATTACCGGGGTATATGTACATATATATACAGTGCTAGTGACATAGACTTCAAATACTTGAAAAATAAATAAATAAATATTACCGGGGTATATGATATCAGGGCCTAATCTAGGATTTTGGAGAGGGAGAAGTGACTTCTCCTTCCATCAGAGAGAAGGGAGAAGTGGTCAATTTCTTGGAGAAGTGAGATTCCATTACCGTTTCGGTTGCATAGTGTTCTCGTGCTTATCACTAAGGAAATTGCTTTATATGTTTATGTTTTTTTCATGTTATTGCACAAAATGTATATATAGAAAGTTCTTCATAAGAGGGTTTAGACAATATAGTTGTTATTTATTCATTGTACTGTCAACTTGAGTTTAAGCTTAAATAAAATTTGTTGCTTGGGACATGAGGGAGTAGCCTAGTAATATTATGATGCATCAAATTCATGTGCATCTGCCTCAATTTATTTTAAAATGTCTAGAAAAATATGATTCCCATTTTACCTGATGAATTTCACATGACTGGGAATTTACTTTATATCACCACTTTGTCATTATTTTGTTAAACATTATTGAATGTCCAGGACATCATGTTACATGTAGTTGTAAATTTAGATTCTCGTTAAAGATTGTAAGCCTATAAATGAAAATATCTGTCAATCACATTTTGATTAACCAATACAGAGCTAATTTCTATAATTTTTTAAAGATCATTTCCCTATCAACGAAATAATTGTCGTGAAAAAAATTCCACTGCTGATCATAGCTGGTCGCGTGTCGTACGTTTGCAATTACATTATCCATCAGCTGTCTTACTACCTTTTATATTTCAATTTTTATTCAATGAATATAATATCTACCGTTAATTCCCACCCTTAACCCACTGAATAGTACAATTTGATCGACTCGTAATAAATAAAAATAAAACAACTCAGCTGAGTGATTACGCAACATCCTCAGATAAAAATCATCGTAAAATGATAACTTTAACAGACGGTCAGTTTTCCGTTTGAATAGTTTTTGAATGTTATATCCTATGATGCTCAAAGTCGCCGTTGTATTTATTTAATTTGATCGTCGACAGTATTAGTCCTGGGTCGTTTCGAAAATCTCGATTTTCCTTGTCAGTCGCCATTTTTTTTACCTGGGAGACTTGTAATTCACAAGTTGTCTCCCTTTTACCAATTTTCATAGCGATTTGACTTCGCCATGAAGTCAGTCGGCTGGCGAGATTTAGCGATTTTCAAAATTCTTTGGCGACTTAAATCGTCATTTCGCCGGCAAGATTATGGCCTGGACCGTATATGTACATACATATATAATATATACAGTGTTAGTGACATAGACTTCAAATACTTGAAAAATAAATAAATTATCATATAATTTTGTTTCTAACATTGATCACTTAATCATTAAGACATCATAAAGGTATTTCAAAGGGATATAAAAAATGTGCAATTAAAGGATTATCTTGTTAAATGCCTAAGGGCTCTGTGAGGACAAACATAAGTTGAGAAGATTTGATTGCAACAAAAACATTTTGATATTAATTAGGTAAAATAACCGGCGTTTTACGTTTCCGCAAATTGGCATTACTTTTCCGGAAAAAAAAGATGACGTTTCCGCAAAAAAAAGTCTACCTTTCCGGAAATAAATACCTTATTTTTTCGAGAAAATAATAACGATGCCGGAAAAAATAAATTATTACTTTTTCGAGAAAATAAGTAAGGAGTACCTTATCTGGACCCCTGCTGTTGTTTCAATCTTTTCTACGTTTGTGTCGAAGTATCAATCAGCGTGTGGCCAGTTAAAGGAGTACCTTGAACTTTGTCCTAAATGAAACCTGCAACTACTGATTGTAGCAGCATGAAATTTTTGTAACAGCAGTATATATGCATTGCACATTCAAAGTCAATATGATCTACCTCGGACTGGAGAGTTAGTCTTCGGGAAGTGCACACATCAATAAGCAGATCCCACATTTGATAAAAGTGGAAGTAGCGCAAACACAAGAGGAATGTAGTTACCATTTTACACCCATGTATTGAATAATTAACTGTGCCATCTATGAAAATATTAGTTATTTCATTGCATGGACGATCATAGACATTTCACGACGGGTGCCACATGTGGAGCAGGATCTGATTACCCTTCCGGAGCACCTGAGATCACCCCAGTTTTTGGTGGGGTTCGTGTTGCTTAGTCTTTAGTTTTCTATGTTGTGTTATCTGTACTATTATTTGTCTGTTTGTCTTTTTATTTTTGGCCATGGCGTTGTCAGTTTGTTTTCGATCTATGAGTTTGACTGTCCCTCTGGTATCTTTCGATCCTCTTTTCAAGTTGGTGAAACATAAAAATATAACAATTCCAACATCATCATCTTTCACTAAGGTGAAACTTTCATTTTTTTATATCTAGTATATTGTAGATATAAGATCAGAACCTTTTTTGTATAAAAATATGAAATAAATAATTTATCTAACATATATTCAAATATTAATAATTTACTACCAGGTAAATTTCCAGAAAAGTAATAAATACAATTTCTGGAAACGCATACTTTAAGTTTCCAGAAACATAGTTTTGGAACTTTGAAAAATTAGCGGAAATGCAATACGCCCAAAATAACAACCACAGTTTGGTGTAAAAATGTTGATTGACATATTCAATCTTTCATTGAAATACATGTAAGGTGTGTATAGAATTATGGAAATTTCATCTTCATATTTTGTCCATTCATCTATATAGTTTTGTTTAATAATTATTTTTAGAAGATTTTTTAAGGACAAACTATCTATAATGATTTAATACAGTAATTAACTGTGACAATAATGTTATTCAATATTTTCTTTTGTTTTTGTTAATATTTTATTTTTATTTTTCAATTTTATGTATTTTACCAATTTGTAATGAAAAGTAATGGAGGCATTACATTGATTTTTAACTAAAGTAATCATTACATTACATGTAATTGTAATGCAGAAAATGTGCATTACAAATTACTTTGCATTACATTAAAAAAATGTAATATTACAATGCATTACAATTACAAATTACCATTACCCCAGTCCTGGTATGTTATCAATCAAATATGATAATTTTAGTCAAGTCAGTGAACAAGAATTTGAATGCTAATGCCCCTTTAAGCCTGGTTTTTCTAATGAACCAGGACGTTAAGCAACCAACAATCAATCAATCAATTTTATGACCCACATCAACCACTCAGTTCTCACAACGAAAAATAAAACTACGGTAATGGAACCTGTTTTGTTGCCTATGGCTGTTCCACTAAATTATATCTGGTACCCAAGGAAGACACTTTCAAAATAGGTAAACCACCCATAGAAGCAATTTTAGAGACCTTGATACATATTTAAGGTATAGCCCTTATGATAAGTCAAAATTGATGATGAAACTTAAAGGAGGACATGACTATGGCTATGACATTGACATACCCATGATTCATGTATTTTCCTTGCAAGAGACCAACCCTCTATTGTGGTAATTTGGACATTAAACAAATAATGTCAATTTAGCTCACCTGGTCCAAAGGTCCAGTGTGAGCTATTGTTATCTTTTAAAAAATCTTTTGAACTATTAGGCCAATTGAAACCATAATTATCCTTGGGGCATATAGATTAAACATATTTTTTTTGGATTCTGCCTTCCAACTGGGAAACACTAAAAATAATTTGTGACTAATCACAAAATCTGGGAAACTTATAGATGGACAAAATCTGTATAGTTATAGATAAACAATATCTGGCAAAAATGTTCAAATCGTCACTTCATGTAGATCAAAATTGTCTGAGACTTCTAATGGTAAACTACTTTTGTGAATGATTTGTATTTTTATGTGTGAAGTTGTTATTTTCATGTAATATTTTTATTAAAATATTGTGTAACTAAGTATTTAATGATAACAATTATATTAACAATTGTTTTTTTATTTATTTCACTAAATATATGAAGGTCAATGATCTTTGTTTGGTCATTCTGTTTTCTCATAGTTATCTTGTGATCATTTTGCACAATATATCAACAGAAACATGCAATTCTAACTCAGTCTTCAAATTGAACGAAAAAGTAAAAGAAACACTTTCATATTTTCAATGGTCATAGCAATGTCTGTAGTGATAAATTCACAGAAATCTCTCATGTTTCACATTCAAGGAAGTTGTCACTTCTTTGCATAATGTCTTTGCAGTAGGTTATGCAAATTGTCCTGTTTGGCTTCAAGGGTCTTTAGGCGTCTATTGATATCAGTTAGTTTATGGTCAAGTGTGGCAACTCCCTCTATTATAACATATAATAACTTAATAATCTTGTGTTCATCAGGAAAAATGGAACATGCATACATGGTTGAAGGTGCTTGTGATGGTGGTTGTGTTGATGTAAGCTATGTTGGTGGTACTATTCTGGAGGTAGAGGCTGATTGTCTGGTTGTTGATTCAGATGTTGTAGATGGTGTAGTTTTGGAGAGTGATACTTTGCTGTATAAAATTTTTGCAGCAGTTTTTGATTGCCTCTGAAATAAAGTAAAACTATTTCCTAAAAGTCTATCTAAATGAAACAAATTTTGATTTCCGAGTTAACTTAAGATTTATGGACTGAAATAGTATCTCTTATACATTATTAGAGGGCTGTTGTTCACTCAATAATATAATGCACCACAATATGAAATATCTCAGCATCAACCTCATTTAAATGTTTGAATAAAATCATTTTAAAAAGTTCATACAAATCTCCAATTTTATGCAAAAATATAGCATGTATAATATTAAAATTCAGCCTTCATGAATGGCTATAAGAAGTATAATACACAGACATATCAGTTATAATTGGTACATATGTCCATGATAACAAAGGACCAGCTGTTCTTCAAACAAATAAGATATATGAGCTGCGTCCGAAGGAATATCAATACATGAAATACACCTGTTTCGGGTTGAAAAAAACTCTATGGAAAGTCTGCAACTGTTTTAAAATTGATTATAAGAAAATCTACAAAAACAAACCGCAAGTCATCTTTTATTTGATATTTGAATGTCCCAAAAGCATTCAAAGTCTTATACGTGCACTTGCATAAGGTGTATTTCTATCTGACGCAGTTCATATATTGTTTAATGGATCCATTAAGTTTACGATTTATATAATTAAATGATGCATAACAATGCTACAAATATGGGTATGAGATTATAAATATACGAGTTGTTTTGAAAAATGTTCCAATTCTTTCCTTGGGCATCACCTCACCAACTATAAATCTTGCACACAACTCTTGACCTAGACTAATATTTTTACTCATTAATTTTTAAGGACAGTACATTAAAGTATTCTGTAAATTTGTTTGAGAGGTGAATGATTATTTTAGGATTCATAAGATGCCTTTTTTGAAGAAAAGGAGAAAAATAAAAATCTTTATGAGTATAGAATAATCAAGTGTAGTGAATTTTACTTGTTAATTAATACTGTAATGACCTGTATGAGGCGCCGTTTTACTATTTATTACCTATTTTCTGATATCAAAAAATGATTTTTTGATATCAAAAATTCTATTTTTTGATATCAGAAAATCGATTTCTTGATATCAAGAAATAAAGAATATTTTCTGATATCAAAAATTCGAATTCCTGATATCAAAAATTCATTTTTTGATATCAGGAAATAGATTTTTTGATATCAGAAATTCGAATTTTTGATATCAGAAAATATTTTTGATTTTTTGATATCAAGAAATAGATTTTGTGATATCAAAAAATGATTTTGTTATATCAAGAATTCGAATTCCTGATATCAAAAAATGATTTTTTGATATCAGAAAATAAGAAATAAATGAATGATGGCTCCCTGTGTGTCATTTAAAACATTCAGGCTCACCAATGAGGCCAAACATTAGGAAATATCTGAAATAATGTTCCCGGTAGACCAATTGTTTTATAGTGTGGAGTACCGCTATACACGGTATTGGTCAATATATTGATGACATTGTGTCCCTTGTTACAAAAACAAAATGCTTATACACTTCAAGTTTTATAAACATGAATAAGACTTCAAAGTCTCCGGAAAACTGCTATTTAATGACAATATTTGAAGCAAAAAAAATATTTACACTAATCTTCAGTTTGATCAAACTTATTATGAAATTCAAGATCCATGCACTAAAAGACAATATATGGAAGATTTTTTAAAATTATTCCTAAAGAAAACATATTTACTCTTGTGTCGTACAATCCGAATTGACGGGATATGTCGACCTAAGAATTTACTACATACTGGAAAATGTTTTCAAGATTTAGATACGATGGCTCGATAATATATTCAGGTTCAACTGGCGATATACACGATCTTTTTGCCTTATATATCTAATAAAATGTACTACATATATATCCATCTAAATTGTACTTACAACTTTTCTCAAAATGAAGTGAAAATTTCTTGACAATCCTTTCAATATAAAGACAAACTTTTCCAAAATGAAGGTATTTTAGAGATGAAAACGTACATCCAACCTACTGAAACGTTTCATTACTTCACAGAAAAAGCTCATATGTATTTAAAAGGTTTATGGAAGACGCGGTTCATAAGAAATACTAGCAGTCTCGTAAAAAGACGAAATAGACAAATCTTTTGAAAATATAAGACATGCATTTTTTTTTATGTTGTTGTTGGCTTTGAACTAGTTGTCACTATCACATCTGTAATTTGTGTCCTTTTGTTGTTGTTACCCTGCCACGTTTGTTCTTACACTATGTTGTAATGTAACACCAGTGTCCCAGGTTAGGGGGAGAGTTGAGCGCTCAAACATGTTTAATCCCGCCACATTCTTTATGTGTCTGTTCCAAGTCCGGAGCCTGCAGTTTAGTGCATTGTCTTGGTTCATAGAATTGAGAATGGAAATGGGGGGAATATGTCAAAGAGAAAACAATCCGATCAAAGAGCAGACAACAGCCGAAGGCCACCAATGGGTCTTCAACGCAGCGAGAAAATCCCGCACCCGGAGGTGGTCCTCAGCTGGACCCTAAAAAAAATTGTGTACTAGTTCAGTAAAAATGGACGTCACACTAAACTCCAAAACATATCAATGAACTAAAATTAAAAAAACATACAAGACTAACAAAGGCCAGAGGCTCCTGACTTGGGACAGGCGGAAAAATGCGGTGGAGTTAGACATGTTTTGTGAGATCTCAACCCTCCCCCTATACCTCTAGCCAATGTAGAATAAAGAAAAACATAGCAATACGCACAGTAAAACTAATTTTAAAAGAAGTCCGAGTCCGATGTCAGAATAGGTAGCAAAATAAACTAAGCAACTTGAAGGACAATGATACATAAATGAACAAAGGACTACTAGCAGTTACTGACATGCCAGCTCCAGACCTCAATTAAACTGATTGAAAGATTATGTCTTCATCATAAGAAAATAAAGTACAATCCCTCCCGTTAGGAGTTTAGTATCATACCATCATAAAATATATGAGAAGAACATAGACAGTATCATGCCAAAACTGGTTTTAGAATAAATGTGTTTATTTCCGATGCAAAGACCCTATGAGTGAATCAAAATATGCAATCATTAATGACTTATTGACAACAGTATCGTAACTACCGGTATATCCTTTCCGAATAAGTCTGTTTAAAGGTTTGGTTAGATTTTGAGGTGAATGCCGACATTTTTGTGCTTTGTAAAGAATATTTCCATAAAATATTGGATGTGAAATACCTGAACGTATAAGAAGTCTGCATGTTGATTTATATTTACGAATGATGTCTGCCATATTTGTTTTACGATTTGTTTTGTTAAAAATCATATAGGCCTTTAGCTTTCTAAATTGAGTTGTTTATTTCTTTTTCATATTGGAGCCTTTTATAGGCGACTATATGGTATGGGGTTTTCTCATTGTTGAAGGCCGTACGGTTGCTTATAATTGCTTACATCAACTTCTTTTAAACTTTGGTGGCTAGTTGTCTCATGGGCTATCATACCACATCTCCTTATTTTTTAAACTTAACAGAACTTACTTACTAAATCCTCAACATAAATAACGGGAAAAAAAATATAAAAACAAGATGAACAAAACACTGGGGCTTGATATTTGCAAAAACCTGACTGCACAAATCTGTTTCAAAGGAAACCAATAATTGCTTATAAAAGAAGCGAGAACTTACAATTATTGACTATAAACCTTAAAATAATAAATATGTGAAACACAAAAAACACAAAACTTCTTATATATATTAAGACTGATGAAGCCGAACTCTGATACATGCTTTCGTATATATTACACGACCGAAACACCAGACTTAATGTAAGGGCTCATTGGTGAACGTTGATGCTTTTATTGACACACAGGGAGCAATCGTTGATATTCTTCTTATTTTCTGATATCAAAAAATGATTTTTTGATATAAGGAATTCGAATTTTTGATATCAAAAAATCATTTTTTGATATCAGAAAATGTATTTCTTGATATCAAAATATCGTCAGTAATAATTGATATCAGAAAATCTATTTTTTGATATCAGAAAATGGATTTCTTGATATCAAAAAATGATTTTTTGATATCAAAAAATCGAATTTCTGATATCAAGAAATAAAGATTATTTTCTGATATCAAGAAATCGAATTCTTGATATCAAAAAAGGCAATTTTTGATATCAAAAAATTGAATTCCTGATATCAAGAAATATTTTTTGATATCAAGAAATATTTCCTGATATCAATTTTTTGATATCAGGAATTCAATTTTTGGATATCAAGAAATATTTTTTGATATCAGAAAATAAGGAATAAATAGTAAAACGGCGCCTCATAGACCTGCAACTACTCAATAATAAGGAGACAATTATCCAGTGCATGCATTGCTGTATTAATTGTTTTGATGATGGCCTGTAATATTTTATTACATTTGAGTACAGGTAATTACGATAATTTATAGTAAGGAAAGTCATTTGCAAATATTGAAGGAGTGATCCATAGTCTTTCCCTTAGAATACTGAATACTAGCAATTATAGCTTAAATGAATAAGCCAATATAAAAATAAGAAGATCTGGTATGATTGCCATGAGACAACTTACCATCTGAAACCAGAAGTTAGCAGCTATAGGTTACCGTATGGCCTTCAACAATGAGAAAAACCCATAGCGCATACCAAGTTACAAAAGGCCCTATTATAACAAATTTAATACAATTGAAAAAGAACGGACTGATTTATGTACAGCAGCAAGCAACAACTACTAAATTTACAAGAAAATATCAAAATAAGTGAAGTTTTATTTTTCTTATTTTTTTCATCATTAAGTTGGATAATACATTATTTTGTGAAATTCTTACATTAACATGATTAGGTCCTTTGTAGATACAAGTAACTTGGCGCAGAATTTCTGATAAATGAACATTAGGTTTTCAAAAGAATTGTCACATATTTTATGAATAAAAGGATACATGTGTGTCAGGAATAGGTTAATGAGACGCCCACCAACACTCGATGTCTGATTTGTACTTTTATGGTAAGACTCACCATTGGTGTCGTACTTGTTGTCCTTTTCCTCTTGGCGTGACGTCTGATGGTAGGTGGACTAGTTGGCTGTCCTGTTTGTTCAGTTGAAGGTGGTGTTGGTAGTCTTGTGGATGCTTCACCTGGTGGCTGTGATGTCTCTCTGTCTGTTTTCATTTGGATCATCTCGGTCTCTGTCCCAGATCCAATAATAAAAGCAGTGGCAACTTGTCTCCTGGTTCCATACTGTACCTCATAGGAGACCATGTTTTGAATCTAAAAAAATGAAATTATGAAATCAGAGACATATAATACATTATTATATGTCTCTGATGAAATGCATGATTTTAATAACGTATTATTACGAGACACATATATTTTGCTACAGTATTACACGAGTATATATTGTTTTTTTAAACAATCACATAATGAATTTTCCCAAAACGGATTCGTGACCATTGGAATACAATTTAGTATTATGGTTTTTAATTTGTAAGTTTGTCTTACGAGGACCATACTTTACGAACAGTTGGATGAACATCTTATTTTTGTCAATCTTTTATTTCCTTGACTTAAAGCATGTACAGAACAGTTTTCACAATAAGATTTATTGATAATCTTCCTTGATATTTATCAATGTGCCATTATGTTTTAAAGTTTTGAGCAGCTACCACATGGTAAAGTTATCGTACCTTCAACCATTTTTTATACTTTGACCAAAATGAATACGACATCACTCTAAAGCGACCATATTTAATACTTTATTTTTGCTAACTTGTTAAGTAAATAACATCTTATTGCAGAGAATTGTTTGACAAGATTAAAAATATGATATCTAATCCTTTATATTGAATCTTTGACTAGCAGAACGTTTTAAAATGAAGATTTTGACATCGTCAGTAGTTGTCTTGCGTTATATCTTAATGTTTTCGTAAGAATTTGGTGTTGATAGCAGATCTATATTTGTTTCTGTTTACTTGGTTCACCATTTTTATACTCAGGACGTTTAGAGCTTGACATATGTTGCCCAATAGATTTCTTTTTGGTTATTTGTGTCGTTGGATTGCTTGCTCATTAACGTATATCCCAAATATCCTCTATATTCATTGTGTGACTTTCTTACCCATACATATACGAGTCCGAGACATATGTAGATGTCTCTGGTAGTACTACGATATGACGCCATACGTCTTCACCACAATTTAATTCAAATATAGTCTTAAATTTTAATTAGGTTGGACTTCCAACAGTGAATTTTATCCTGGTAGTTTAAAAATAGGAGAAAGGTACGACCAATTTCGCCTGTATTTATTTCACACCAGGGTAATTTTCAAAAAGTCCATCCTAGGACTAATATATTAAAACGGGACGCTAGTGTGATAGTGCCAGGTCCGTCTTAACTAAAGTTCCCGATAACGCAGCTTCATGGATATGTGGTATAATTGCCAATGAGACAAATATCCAACAGAGTCCAAAATTTAGCAAATTTAATCTGAGACTACTATAACAAACGTGAGAAATATCGGCCTGATTGTTAAGGTAGTTTCGGCCCCAAGTCTTTCTACCCCCAGTCGATTCGGCCCATAGATAAATAATGAATAATTTGTTACTATATAAATCGGATTGTTTTATGACATATGTGATTTATTGCAGAGACATATGTATATATGTCTCTGTTTATGGTAAGCTGAATTTGCACATGAAAAGTTTGTAAATTACGCCGATGATCAGAGGTATATATTTAGGAAACGGTAATGACAGTCGGCAAATCAAACAAAAGTTGTTTTCAATTTGAACACTTTTTTAATACTTTAAACAAAAACAAAGTGTGTATGCATCAGCTTGGGAATTGTCTTGTCCATCTAAATGTCAAGTTTATGACATAATACAATAGAGGTTTAGAATAAATCCAATCAGAGTCGATGGCTTCGATTAAAGTATTTACACGTGCAAATTCTTTGAACAGTCTTAAACATTTCCTAATACTGTTTGATACACTCAAATCGGCATTACTATAAATAAAATGTACAATGATAATTTGTGCCTACAGTTTTCTCGTTTGACTTATTTAACACTTTTCTTTTGGGTTTTTTTAATTACTCACTAATGCGGTATGGGCTCTGCTCATTGTTGAAGGCAGTACAATGACTTATTGTTATTAATGCGGTATGGGCCCTGCTCATTGCTGAAGGCAGTAAAATTACTTATTGTTATTAATGCGGCATGGGCTCTGCTCATTGTTGAAGGCAGTAAAATGACTTATTGTTATTAATGCGGTATGGGCCCTGCTCATTGTTGAAGGCAGTACGATGACTTATTGTTATTGATTTCTTTGCCATTTGGTCTACTGTGAAGAGTTGTCTCATTGGCAATCATACCAATTCTTTTTTACACGAGTTACTCAGTTACATGTATATATATATACTTTTCAATTTGCGTTTCTTTTCTTGTTAGCTTGCTTGCTTTAATTTATGCATGTTTGCCTAGCTATTTACATTTATATGCATGTGTTCTTGTATACATGTAATATGCTTATAATTTGATATTTGATTTTTATATTAAATATCAAGTCAGTTGAGAGATCTGCAGAGCTCATTTTTACGTTGTTGAATCATACATATCATGCCCGACCCTAAATTATCTTACTTACGCAAATAGAGTTAATATAGTTATACAAGCAAATATAGTTATACAAGCAATTAAAGCTGAGTTGATATTTTCAAAAAAGACCTCAACATATGATATGTTATTACTATTGGTATAGGTTATTCAGATAGCTCACTAAAACTCATTTACCGTTGTTCTTGATAGTATATATATACACAACAGACAATGGACTTCCAGAACAACAGCATAACATGCTACGAATGAATTTAATACGATCAGAATATACCTTGCCCAAATTCACACTTCAATCAGTTCACGAAGATAAACTACGTCTTCTTCAAACCAGTAGTTAATAGGCAACTATGGACAGGTCAATTAATTTATCAACAAGTCAACTTAGAGAAAATAAGGGAATTATGTGCACTTTTGACACAATTATTAAATTACTTTATAAACTCACGAAGCAGCAGACAGAGCATGGTACACAATATCCTCTTTTCTTTGAAGTGCGATAATGTTATTGTATATATACATGTATTGTTTATAATATTTTTGATTGTCATCATCATCTAACACGGATATGTGAACATTGAGGATACCTTTGTATTTTACTATCACATTTCTTTTACATGCCAGCACGAACTATGGGCTTTCCCACAACTATTTTTAGAAACAAAACAAATATGTGGTATATAGGTGAAGGACTTTTACAGACAAACACGTATATTATCCAGATGGGAGCCTTAATGAATTTTTAAATTTATTTCAAATACTCTTGATCTATTTCCTTCTATTAAAAGGAACATTTAGCATTCCTATCTATTCACAGAGCTGATGGACTCATTCTTTTTAATTCTAGTCGGAATTAATCAACTATGCTTCTATATACACCCATTACTTAGAGTAATACATAGAATTTCACTCTAGCACCTAGTTCTTTTAGGTCACAAAATATATTCGACGTAAAACTATTCAAGTTTGAACTTTCCAAAAAGCTGCACGGACTGCTTAGCTGTATCCGAATTTTAAGTACTAGTAGGAATGCATGTGGTTGCCGATTTAGTACACGAAGTGTGGTACTTTCTATATATTGATTGATACGAATAAATTAATTTTTAAAAGTGTACGTTTTAAAATATTGGTCACGATACTTGTTGAAAATAAAAATATATACAAATGTACAAGACTTCGAAGGGGTGCCTAGAATAGCATGAATTATATATACAGGTAATGCATTTTCGTAAACTTAGTAGAGGAACATAGATTTGCAAAACGAATAGTGCATATTGCAGATTAACAAAGCAATTAGGTAGATTCATGGTATACCACCATCTTGGATTGTACTTTTGCAGTGAACAATCAGTCTAGTTGCTACCCAAATCTCCGAATTTATAGACAGATGTTCAATGTTATTGATTAGACTGATTATCTCTATGAAGAAAACTTCCTGATTTATCGCATTATTAAAAATATTTTAACAAGTACCGAACATATGTGTTTTAGAATAAATTTGTTCAACTAAGCCGGTTAAGGCGAGATAACTCTTTTAGTAAACCTATTGATAATTCATGATCGGTTTATCAGTGGATGTATTACTGCTAAAATATTGCGTTTTTATGATGATATTAAATATATATATAACATGGATAATACAACAAAAGAAGTGATATCGTCCAAAACAAATCTTGCTGAGGGGATATCATGGAAGAATAACAGCCCCATTATAACAAAGCTATTACAAAAGGAAAAATATTATTGTCCAAGATTCAAACGTATTAACAAAGAGTAATGCATTCTTAGCTAGTTCACTTAAATGGACGTTTAGGTTGTGGAAAAAGGAGGGGGGGGGGGTTCTGATGAGTGTGTATAGACACACTCAAGTGGCAAGATTAAGGGGTTATGATCGTTTCCCGTAATTGTACGTCGGATCATATTAGGTTTTTACTTTCCTGCGGTACCGCAGGAAGTTCTGTTGAGACCATCTCATGTCTACCCTGAGTGGCCGGTTCTGAATTGGTACCAGTTCGAGCTTGACTGTTTTATGATACATAGTATGGACTATGTATTCAGCGTGCACATAGAGTTTTATGATATAGAAACTGTTAATCTTTACTCCCCTGAAACCAGGGGGTGATGCGAATAAGACCCGACGTATTTGGGGATCATAACCCTCGTTCTCTTTAGGATGAACCTTGAGGAACTTGAGCATCCATTGCTACCAATGGTGCACAGATTTGTCAGTTAAATCAATCATGTCGGCATTCTGTTATCATGTCAGACCTCGTCATTCAAAGTGAACTGTGGCCGTTATTTCCACATTAATTATTTGTTTGTTATGTTTTTGCCTGAAACTTGATTCTTTGATTAATACGGTTTATCTCATTTATAAGATAAACCAATTTAATGAAAGAGAAATGATTACTGCGTCATTCGGATCCGGTTCTCGTTTCCCGATAATCAACGTCACATGACTCTTCAGCATTACATTGAACTAGCCACTCTTGTAGATATGTAAAAGTTTCAAAAACCCACCCACCTACCCTTGTAATCTTCCATCTAATAACAATTCTTTTGTCTGCTGCTGTTTTATTTATCTTTTCAGAATGACCAGAACAGGCCGGATCTATAACATTTTGGACAAAAAAGAGGAGACAAACAAGCCGATGGATTTGCTTGCTGAATCATACGTTCGAGAACTATATATGTTAATGCTAATTTTCATGAATGGCTACCACTTTTATCTAAATTTTCAGACACCAGCAGTGTGAAAATGGAATTATCAATACCTGCTATTAGTTCTTCGCCTGGAATGCATTTAACTTTTGACTTTATTTGGATAAAGATCAGCATTTATCTTGATTACTTGATTCTAATTGTTCATTATTTTGTAATAAAATCATTCGTCACAGTCAAAAAGGATGTCGGGATCTGGCAAGATTAAGGGGTTATGATCGTTTCCCGTAATTGTACGTCGGATCATATTAGGTTTTTACTTTCCTGCGGTACCGCAGGAAGTTCTGTTGAGACCATCTCATGTCTACCCTGAGTGGCCGGTTCTGAATTGGTACCAGTTCGAGCTTGACTGTTTTATGATACATAGTATGGACTATGTATTCAGCGTGCATATAGAGTTTTATGATATAGAAACTGTTAATCTTTACTCCCCTGAAACCAGGGGGTGATGCGAATAAGACCCGACGTATTTGGGGATCATAACCCTCGTTCTCTTTAGGATGAACCTTGAGGAACTTGAGCATCCATTGCTACCAATGGTGCACAGATTTGTCAGTTAAATCAATCATGTCGGCATTCTGTTATCATGTCAGACCTCGTCATTCAAAGTGAACTGTGGCCGTTATTTCCACATTAATTATTTGTTTGTTATGTTTTTGCCTGAAACTTGATTCTTTGATTAAATTATACAAAATTATAAACATTCTATACAAAATTTATGAAAGAACTTTTTTAGAAGATAAAAAAAAAGTCAATTTTAAAACAATTCTGGGACTAATAGATAAAATTCAAAGAACAATTTAATGAATTCCTTATGAAAATCTTAAACAAGATAAAGAAATCAATGCAAGCAATGATTTATATCTTACTATATATTCAGTTATACTGTATACATTGGACTACTATACTATGATAAGTATAATAGTCCCAGTGTTTACTTATTTTGTATTTGTCACAAACTTATTGTTTAAAGTTTATAAGGCAATAAACGTTTGAATTAACTTGAATATATTAGTTCTTGATACAAGTTAGAAAATTTAATTAAGCAAATTACTTATTTAAATTGTTTTTGATAATGTGACTATTTTTCCTGTGACTTTTTCCTACGTGATTTTTATTTCTGTGACTTTTTCCTACATTCATTATTATATATCTTTGATGGGACAAAACAATTTGTATTTCTATGTTTTACTTTCCATATCCAAAACGTCAACGTGTCAGCTTTTATTAAGAATTAAAAAAAAAGAAAAGACACATGTTTTAATTCTTCGTTTTAGTTTGGACTTTTTTACTCGTAGTAGTTTTCAACAAGGGTTTTGATATTCGAATCAGAGTTAAATCTTTGTAATCAAGAATTACATATATATTTTTCAGTTTCCTTAAGCAACTTGATTATTTACCTGGAACTCATTATATTCACTACATAAAATTATGTTTCTAAGCTGAAGAATCAGTCAAGTTAACCGCTTAAAACGTAATTGTTTAACAGATTGATTCGAAAATATGTGAAGTTAGAAAATGTAAGTGGGTTCTGTTTCAATTGTTCCGACACAGCTAGTTAACTACTATTCGGTCAAAGAAATAGTTTCGACATATATATTCAAGAAAAATATTGGGCCCCTTGTCATTTTCAAAAACAGACACAATACAGAATATTAGATTACAATTTTACATAATGTGTAAAGTATATGTACAAACCTTTCCATTACATCTTAAGAAACCTCTGGTTCTGACTTTATAAGTTTTGCTTGCTGTATATTTCACAAGATAATGTGTTGATGCTTTCGTCTGAATGCTGAGCTTACGAGATATTGGTAGCGTAGACATTATGAAATACTGATAACAATATGATGTTTTCGACCCATTATATAGCACGTCTGTTTTGTCATTAAGATTTGACAGGTTCATCCGGATATAATAAAACATTATTAATTAACTACATTGTTATTGGACTTAATATGATGAAAACTGCCTATGCAATATAAAGGTGTCAACTCGGCCAATACAGAATAACTCGGCCAATATAGATTTTTTTTCTGTATTGGCCGAGTTCTGATCCGGCCAATACAGGATTTCGGAACGTCTCTAGTTTTTAGATCGAAAGTCACGATAAACACAAACTGAAAGTAAACAGTTGTTTGGAAGACGCAGTTTTCATTTACTCACCATAAACATGCTGAAACGTTCAGTATGGCATATATTTCAGGCTAAAGAAGGTCACATTCATTTAAAAAGCATTTTGAAAGCAGACGATGGAATTATTTCAGGTCTGGGGAACGAGTAGATTATCACAAAGACTGAAAAGTTCATTTCTTGTCGACCTCATAATTTCACGATGGTACAAATCGATTTACTGTTTACTTTCGCTTCTCATGTTTTGTAAACTGTCATTTATTTTTAAACCCGAACCAGGCATATGAATTCTGGAAGGGTGACCTGTAATTGTGCAAATCTTCGTTCTTTGGTCAGTTGGCTTATGGATAGTTGTATCATTTTCAACTCCTACATTATTTTTTTTTAGATATATTCAATTTGTTTCTGCATAACACATGCAATGGCAGTACCTTTCCAATTACTATTTATGTGTTGTGTCTAAATTTAAATTATAACACTTTATAGTGACTGGAAAGGGTCGAAAAATTCATCAGATGAGAAAATGCTGAAGACACCTGGAAACGGCACCAGATCATTAGATATTGCATCTTATAAAAAGAAACTGAGATTTTGATAGTTCCACTTCAAGGTAAAATGTTTATCTCTTGTGAAATGAAATTAAAAAAATATTGTAACACTGTAGTTAATTAATAAAGATACTATTACGTGTATTTCTGTATTGGCCTTGTTATTGGTCCTCGGCCAGCTGTATTGGCCTTCGGCTTCGCCTCAGGCTAATACAGCAAGCCTCGGACCAATAACAAGGCTAATACAGAAATACTCACGTAATAATATCATAATACATTAAGCAAGGCTTAATAACTTGTGAATTGTTTGTATATTTGAAGGTCCATGTCATAGTGATGGTGTGATACTAGTATATTATTCAACAGTGTCAAAGAATACAATTTATGGCTTTATTGTCGAGATGAATAAGACAGCTGTCTGAAATGAAATGAAATGAAATAAAAAAAGTAAAGTAAAGTAAAGTAAAGTAAAGTAAACAAGTCAAGTCAAGTCAAGTCAAGTCAAGACAAGACAAGACAGCATAGTCATGATAGTAAAGTAGAGTAATTAAAGTAATTATTTATATTTTTTCGTATTTAGTGCATTAATTTTGAATTGCGTTCAACTCGGATATTTTTGGTTCGAGAAATAACAAATCTCACTTTCACCCTTACTGGACAAAAGAACTGTATATTCAACCTTCAAAATAAGATTAGATGATAAAAATTTAATATCTGTTTCGATTAATCCTCAAACAGTGAAACACACAATAGAATAAGAGGTAAAGACAAACAAACACAGATCTGTCCGTAGTTCGTACAAAATATTTGGAATTATCTTTCACATGTAACGGATAATCTTTTTTCTTTAAATTCCGCAATTGTAGTTTTAATTTATTTTCTGTAAAGGCAAACGTACTTTGGAGGGACATTTTTAATGCAAAGATTAAATTAACGATTTCACAATATTTCATTTGAAAGATGTGCGTCATGAAAGGCTCTGATTGACCACGGCTCAAACTGTTGAAATAAGGTCTTAAACGTTTATATGTAAAAACAGGGATTTTGTAAAATTGTGAAATAATCAGAGATGTTGTAAAATCCCTAATTCGATGTTTAAACAGAATGTAGGAAAACAAAGTCAGGATAATTCAAAGTGTTTAATATTATTTCATTTGTTTTCTCTCTTTTTTTAAACGTTATATGAATTTTTTTTTTGGGGTAAATTACTGAAATAAAAAAAAATAATTTTAAACATATAATAGCATGTATGTTTATTGCTTTTTTATTTACGTAATAATTAAATTGAAACCAGTTTACTAATTTGAACATTTGTTGAATTGTTTCATTTTTTTCTTCTTCTTCTGATTTCATGGTTTGTACGGGAGAACTTCCAAAGAATGTGTAAACATCTTTCCTTCACTTCTGCAAATTTGGTTAAGACTGCATTTTAACTATCAAAGATAAAAAGCGCAAATGTCCGGTCAATTTAGTTCATGTGTTTTAAAGTTTAAAGCTCAAATGTCCATAATGCTTGGAGCGCAAATGACCTTTCATTTTACAAGTAAAAAAGGCGCAAACGTCCTGCGCTTGAAATAACACATCCCTGTATGTTATTTTTATTAGTTCATTCAAAGAAAAAGAATGGTTTCAATTACAACTTGTATAAAATACATATCAAGATTCTTAAAACAAGCAGATTTATACCAAACTTATGATTAATCATTTACATTTGCATTCTTTCAATTTCCTACTCATTATTTTTGTTGAAAATTATGTTATACAATCCAATATATTGATATTAACTACATATGTGAGGGTCTGGATGGGGGTCCTTCATTTCTTTATTCTTTAATCTATAAGGTCATTTTTCTCTATTCTTTATACTTTTTGCCCGTTATTCTCTATTCTTTATGTATTTTAGCACCCCGTTATTCCATTTTCTTTATTTTTTGGCCCTATTTTATTTTTATCTAATCTATATATTTTTCACCTTATTCTGCACTTTATGCCCATTATTCTCTATTCTGTAAACCCCATCCAGACCCTCAGATATGGCACAAATCATCATGAAACTTCAATTAATTTTCCCTGTGTCCTTTTACTTTACATCAAAGACATATAATACATATATATGTGTGTACCAAAAAGACTTTTTTCCTATCAAGCGTAATGTTGGCCATATCTTCATAAATTTAGTAATGATTTATCATTATATAGATAGAAAAGAAAGGAAATGGGGTATCGATCTATGACACAAAATCAGTATATGTGCAGCAAAAAACTCGAAAGCAAAGGAAAAACGCTTTTATTGTTGTTCTTCATCTTAAAGTCCCGTTGAGGCCTTCAACAGGGTGTAAAAACTCTCACATCACTGTAAGTTTAAGACGGCCCCCTAGCACAGGTTTGTTATTTTTTAACAAACACTTTTTTGAGTTCAATAGGCAAAGAAGTTACGTTCAATGCGCAATAGATGTGAAAGAGGTTTCTCGACCGGTTAACCGCTCGATAGTACTACTTGTAATATCGAAAAAAAACTATTAATGTCGATATTAAATTGCATTGTTCTTAATAACAAATTATTCAAATTTTCTTCTTATTCCCTAAAAGATGGCCAATAGTCCTAGTTTAAATTACGGTTCTTTGAATCAAAAAGGATGTAGATATGTACGTAAGGCCAAAAATACAATTCGAATTCGCGATCACGAATTTTACAAATCACGATCACGAATTTAAAAGATCGTTATCATGGGTTGTATAATTCTTTATCTCCAATTACTCGTTTTTTGTCACCTTATTGAACTCAAAAGTGTTTGTTAAAAAAGAACAATACAATGATAAATAATAACTAAATTCCTAAAGATATATAGCCAATTATAGTTCTATATTACAAGTGCAAAATTTATATCTATTCAAAATTTGTTACATGTGTTATATAAATGACTTTTGAATGGTAAGGCTTAACATCTAAGAATATGCGAAAGATAATATCTATGTGAACAAAGAACTTGTGCAAAAATTGTCAGATCGTAAATACTTACTTGTTAATACAATGCATGATAGTACAGTGATGATCGTACAGATATTCACAAGTCTAATGCTGTTTGATTTTTCAAGTCAAACATTTCTTGGAGGAACAATTAACTGGGTGAAATGGCCGAGCAATGACAAGGTTTGTTTAGTTAATAGGCTAAAAAAAAGTTGGATAAAAAAATGGGTGTGTTTAAGAATCCTTGGTCATATATTTCAAACCCTTTAAAATTTCCGATTTTCAAGGAATTCTCTTTTCAATTTGATTGTCATTCTTCTGTTTAATGTTTAATAACTATTACAGCCAAAAAACTTTTAAATTATTGTTCAAATTATTGAAATTTATAATGGAATAAGTCTATAAATTAAAAAAAAAATACTAAGAGACTAACTAAAAAGGTTTAAACTCCCGAACGCAAAGTTGGCCATAACAAAATTTATAGCTATTCTTTTCAGGTCTCCTTTGGTCGTAATACTCCTAACATTTCTACTTATTTATGCATGGTTTGTTTGTGTTTGAGCGTTTCTGATGAAGATAAATCCAGAAAAGTGCTTAGTTCGTATGAAATTCATAAAGTTTCATTTTCATTTATAATAATGGGAATAATATAGAATAGGTTTGAATGCTAAAGTAGGTGCATTGGCTTTTACGACTCGAAAAGTACTGAGAAAATGTTACAATGTCTTTTAGAATTGAACATACCCAAGAATGAAGGACACTAATGGCCGATTACCCTTATCAGCGACACCCGGGGTGCAATGTTTTTAATGATGTTCGATTAACATAGAAAGTAATGGGAAAATAAATAGGTACCTTCATTAATTCTTCATATTATTTTTATTAATCATCTGAATTCTTATTAACACATACGACCGAATTCTACATAGATTTACCTTTCTGGTGGTATTAAAAAATCCAGTTTATCTTATTTCATTGTTAGGTCTCCGATGTTTTGAAATTTCATAATCTAAATTCCCTTACTCACATCAGTAAATTTCGATGAATTACCTCAAAAGAAACGAGACAGCAGTAAGTAAAAAAATTGAAGCACACTTAATATGTGGAGGAAATACTATTAACACAT